CACCATGCACACACATGCACAACACACCATCACCCCCACACACCATCCACCCACACACCATGTACACACACATGCGCAATGCGCCATCCATCCACACATACACCATGCACACACATGCACAACACACCATCACCCACACACACACCATCCACCCACACACCATGTAACCACACACGTGCAACGCACCATCCACCTGCACATATACCATGCACACACACGCACAACACACCATCCAGCCACACATGCATCATCCACACACTCAATGCACCATCCACTCACACAAACACAGCATCCACCCACATATGTACCATGCACACACACAAACACACCATCTACCCACACATGCATCATCCACACACATGCAACGCACCATCCACCCCCACACACAACACACCATCCACTCACACATATACCATGCACTCACACCATGCACACACACACGATGTACATAAGACACGCCAACACCCCACCCACACATGCACCATCCACCCACACACGCACCATGCACACACATGCACAACAGCATCCACCCACATATGTACCATGCACACACACAGGCACCATGCACACACACTCCCTATACACACACACGCACCCCCCACATCATACATGGCCATACCACACACAGTATACATACACACACATAGACACATGCACCCTACACACACACACACACACACACACACCATAGATATAACACACCCCACACATACCACACACACCCCCCATAAATACACACCTCCGAAACATCTCTTCTTGCTCTGTCCAGCGGGAACTGAGGAGCCAGGAGCACACCCAGCACCCAGATCTCAGCTAGTAACCCCCTCCCCTCAGCCCCTCCCAGAAACCAGGGCTCCTGGGAGAAGTGGCTGAGCCCAGCCTTGGCAGGAAAAGCACAAGAATGTCCACGGAGCCAGGAAGCAAGAATGCTGGGAGCACAGCAGGACACACGGAAGGACCCAGGGCCAGCCGAGGGGGCTCCCTGAGCATCATCTCAATAGCGACAGTCACGAGTCCTGACCACGGAGTAAGATAGGAACCCTGAGCCCATACTGATGAGACTGAAAGCTCAAGAAGCCCCAGGATACTGAGTTTGGAAGATGCCCCCACCCCTAGAAAGCACTCACAGTTCTAGAGAAGGGGATGCTGGGAGGAGAAGCCCAGCCCAGCAGATGACCGGAAGCTCACGAGCCTTGGGCCGCACGGCCACTGTGCACCACAGGTGGGACGCGGGGCCTCACTTCTGTGGCAGAGACACGTAGCCCGAACCTTCCCATGAGGGTGGCGGGCAGCATCGCGGCCCCCGAGAATGTGCACCCTAGTCCCGGAACCTGTGAATATGTGACCTCACATGGCAAAAGGGACTTTGCAGATGTGATTAAGGTTCCAGACCTTGAGACGAGAGATGATCCTGGATTATCTAGACGGGCCCCATCTAATCACAGGAATCCTCAGAATCGGAAAACCTCAGCTGGGCCGGAGAGGAACAGGTCTGGGTCCTTCCCATGGGGAAGGTAGGGAATGGGGCTGTAAGCAGGCGACAGGAGGACTTCAGAAGCTGGGGACGGCCCAGGGGACAGCCTGCATGAAAACAGGAACTGTGGACCTGTGACCCTAAGGAGCTGGACCCAGCCAACGACCACAGAGCAGGAAGCACTCTCTCCCGAAGCTTCCAGAAAGGAAGGCAGCCAGCTGACACCTCAGTCTGACCTCCAGAACCCAGCCGGAATGAATCTGTGTTGTTTAATCGGCTTAGTTTGTGACAATTTGTTTAAAAAAAAAAAAAAAAAAAAAAACGACTGCAATGAAAAGACATCAAACCCCAATTGAAGGATATAGGGTTGGTTATCAGGCACCGAAATTCCTCAGAACAAACAGCTGAACAGGAAAAAGAGCAAAAGGAAGCATTTCACAGAAGAAAAATGGACAACAAAAACGTGAATGAACCATTAACCTCATTTGTAATTAGAGCAAATTAGAGCCACAGAGATTTCATTTCATTCACCGTATTGCTACAGCCGAGACCACACTGGACCAGCTGCTGTTTTTGTAAATAAAGTTTTATTGGAACACAGACATGCCCACTTGTTTACATATTGTCTATGGCTGCTTCTGACCTGCAATGGCAGAACTGAGTATTTGTGAGACCATTTGGCATTGCGAGAGACTAATGACACAACTGAATATTTGAAAGAGAACATTTTGCCTGCAGAGCAAAAAATATTTACAATCTGACTCTTTCTAGATAGTTTGCCAGCCTTTGATATAAACCAGGAAGAGCTCTTACAGCTACTTTGAAGAGCAATTTGGCAATATCTCGTGAAATTACAGGTATGCATATGCTTGATTTTGCGATTCCACTGCCAGGTATTGACCCCAGAGAAACTCTAACAAATACACATGAAGGAGGCAGGTATGTTTACCGCAACACTGTTTCCAAGGCCAGCAACTGGAAACAGCTCAGGTGCCCTCAGTGGGAGAGTGGGTGCGTATCTGGGATATTTAAGAAACGGAGCTCCACAGAGCAGCAGGCAGGGGACTCAGAGCACTGCAACATGATGGCGACTCTCGGAAACAAAGTGGAAGGAAAAAGAAAGTTGCAGAAGGGCACATATCTGTAATTCAGTTTTTTTATTTTGGAGACAGAGTCTCCGTCACCAGGTGCCAGGTTGGAGTGTAGTGGTGTCATCTCAGCTCCCTGCAACCTCCGCCTCCCAGGTTCAAGCAATTCTCCCGCCTCAGCCTTCTGAGTAGCTGGGATTACAGACGCCCGCCACCATGCCAGGATGGTCTCAATTTCTTGACCTTGCGATCTGCCCGCCTCGGCCTCCCAAAGTGCTGGGATTACAGGTGTGAGCCACCGTGCCTGGGCTCTGTAATTCAGTTCTTACAATCGTCCAAAGTAGAAAAGCGCCCTATCCCGGTACACTGCTGAACTAGTTAGGCTACAGCTTTGGATTCATGAAACAGCGGCCAAAATAATGGTGAGTAGTGCAAGGAGCGGGCTTGTCTCTCCCTCCCGGCACAGTGGGGAGGAGGTAGTCATGGAGGGGCACGGCGGCTTGGTTCCATGAGCTGTCCAGGGACCCAGGATCCTCCTAGCTTGGTGCTGCACTCTGCCATGGTATCACGCTGCCTGCACTGTCCGAGACGGCTTCCTCCCATCATGTCCGGGTTCCAAGCAGCAAGATGAAGGGAACAGCAAACACTCTCCTAAGAAATGCCCTAGACATTTGTCCCGTCGTTTCTGCTCACTTCTTATTGTCCAGAACCCTGCCTGCCAGGGACACAGGAAGTATATTCTTTATCCTAGGCAGTCATACGTGCAGGCCAATCCGTATTAATTTGGAAAATGGAATAAACTACTATCAAGAGACAAATGGTTGGCTGGGCATGGTGGCTCACCTCTGTAATCCCAGCACTTTGGGAGGCTGAGACAGGCAAATTGCTTGAGCCCAGGAGTTCAAGACTAGCCTGGGCAACATGGCAAATCCTCATCTCTACAAAAAAATTTAAAAATTAGCTGGGCATGGTGGCACACACCTGTAGTTTCAGCTACTGAGGGTCTGAAGTGGGAGGATCACTTGAGCCCAGGAGGCAGAGGCTGCAGTAAGATGAGACTGCGCCACTGCACTCCAAACTGAGCAACAGCGCGAGACTCTTTCAAAAAAAAAAAAAAGGTAGACCTTTAAAGAAAACAATGAATTGATAAAATCTGGATATGTGCGTATTTCATTTATATGAAAGCAAATGGGCTGGGTGCGGTGGTTCACACCTGTAATCCCAGCATTTTGGGAGGCCAGGGTGGGTGGATCATCTGAGGTCGGGAATTCTAGACCGGCCTAGCCAGCATGGTGAAACCCCGCCTCTACAAGAAATCCGAAAAATTAGCTGGGTGTTGGGGCGGGGGCGCCTGGAATTCCAGCTACTTGGGAGACTGAGGCACAAGAATAGCTTGAACCCGGGAGGCGGAGGTTGCAATGAGCTGAGATCGCACAACTGCACTACAGCCTGGGCGACAGAGCAAGACGCTGACTCAAAAAAATAATAAAAAAAGAATCAGCATCTATTATTTTGCTTGGGAATTTAATTCGTCTTTACCCTGGCATTTCCTCTTGTTCTTCTCCTGAGGGTGGGCACTGCCTCATCTGGCTGAGGAACTGGCCTCTGTTCTAAGACACCTGGTCCAGCAGGTGCTGCAGACACAGCCTCCCTTCCTCCGCCCTCCTCCCCAGCCCTCTGGTATACGCGCTGTCAGCAGACTCAGAGTGAGCTGCTAGGTGCCAGGAATCCACAGGTCCATCAGGACCCTTCTCTGTTCTCTTTGCTCCCCGGCCTCCATTTCTACCCCAGGAATTCTTATTTGTCCTTCAAGCTCCAGCCTAGAAGCCACCTCCTTCTGGAAGCCCTCCCGGGTTTCTCGGGTCATGAAAGCCTCCACCCCTCCTGTCCCCTCCCGGCATGTGCCTTGCTCTTTCCGTATGAGAAGGTGAAGTTCTCCACGGCTGCTGCTCTGGGCTCGGCTCTGAAGCGCACCGCGTCCCCTTAGAGCTCTCCGGCCTCAGCGAGCGGCCGAGCCTCTCTGTGCCTAGCGTGTCATCCCTACCTCGTAGGCGCTAATTCCTCAGAACAGGCTAATTTTCGGCTTCCCCCCGCCCGTGCCCCGGCACCGAGCACTCGCCCCCAAATCGGACCTGGGGGTAAAGACGGAAAAGGAATCCTCCAATCTGCTCCTCCCCGGAGGGCGCAGGGCCTCCTTTTCCTTCCAGTCCGCGACTGCCCTTCCACATCGAGGCCTAGCGGGGCGATCCTTTGCTGTCCAGCTCCAGCTGAAGCGGGTCCTTGGCCACAGCTCTGCAGGACCACATGGGAGCACCGGCCACCTGCGCGGCCGCAGGGTTCCCCCGGCCCAGTTTCCGCCCGCCCTTCCGAGCCCGCCTCTCATTGGCTCGCGTCCCACCAAGTCCCGCCCCCTCCGCCGTCACTTCCGGGCAGCGGAGCCCGCGGAAGGCGGAAGTGTGAGAGCCGCCGGGCGGCTGAGTGTGGCTGAGGTGGCCTTAGCCGGCTCCGCGGCTTTTCCGGATCTGGGCTCGGAGATTCGCGGGAGAGGAACGCATGGCCCTGAGGCGGCAGCAGAGCCTGGCGGAGTCCGGAGGTTGACGTCGCCCCCGCTCCGGCCCTCGCGGCCGCCTCCTCGGAGCAGCCTCCGGGGCCCGCGCCCCCGCCCGTCCCCGCCCCGGCGGTGTTCTGGACGTTGGGACCTGGGACCTTGGCCTCGGGCAGGGCTCCCGAAGCCGGCTGCAGCCCGGCGACCCTAGACCTCTCACCATGACCGCGGCCGCCGCCTCCAACTGGGGGCTGATCACGAACATCGTCAACAGCATCGTGGGGGTCAGCGTCCTCACCATGCCCTTCTGCTTCAAGCAGGTGAGTCGGGTGGGCCCGGGGGTCACCGCCCTCGCCTCCCCCGCGGAGGGGGCGTCCGGCCGGGGCCTCCCGGTGAGAGCGCCCGCTGGGGCGGGGCTTCGCGGGGGGCGCAGGCGGCCCTCGGGGTCCCGGCGCAGTCCCCGCAGCGAAGCCGCGGACGAGAAGCGCGCGGCGTCGGCCCCGGCAGCCCCCGGCAGCCCCCGGCAGCCCCTGGCCGCTCTGGCCGGAAAGTTCCCCACACTCGGAAACTGGGCTCCGAAGCAAAGCGTAACACAGCAAAACGACCCTCCGGTCAGTGTGTTCACGCGTTATCCTGTTTGTAAACACGCTGACGGCCGCCCCTGTCTTCGGAAGCACACGCTCGCGCCTCCCAGGCCTCGGGTGCAGGTGGATGCAGACATCCAGGTTGTACAGCTCAGATCCGTTTCACAAAAACTGCACCTTCGGCCGGGGCGGCGGCCCACGCCTGCGATCCTGGCACTTTGGGAGGCCAAGTGGGTCACCTTAGGTCAGGAGGTCAAGACCAGCCCGATCAGCATGGTGAAACCCCAGCTCCACTAGAAATACAAAAATTAGCAGGGTGTGGTGGCGGGCGCCTGTAGTCCCAGCGAGCTACTCAGGAGGTGAGACGGGAGAATCGCTTGTAACTGGAGGCGGAGGCTGCGGTGAGCTGAGATGGCAGCGGCAGCGCTGCAGCCTGGGCAGCAGAGTGAGACTCCGTCTCAAAAAACAAACAAAAAAACCCTGCACATTTGACCTAATGTGTTCAAACGTTACCATAGTTGAAAAAAATCATACACAAAAAGTTTAGTGTCATTCTAGCATTGAATAACACGTGAAAGAAAATGGCCATTTCTTTTTTTTTTTTTTTTGAGACGGAGTTTCGCCCGTGTTACCCAGGCTGGAGTGCAATGGCGCGATCTCGGCTCACCGCAACCTCCGCCTCCTGGGTTCAAACAATTCTCCTGCCTCAGCCTCCCGAGTAGCTGGGATTACAGGCACGCGCCACCACGCCCAGCTAATTTTTTTGTATTTTTAGTAGAGACGGGGTTTCACCATGTTGACCAGGATGGTCTCGATCTCTTGACCTCGTGATCCACCCGCCTCGGCCTCCCAAAGTGCTGGGATTACAGGCTTGAGCCACTGCGCCCGGCGAAAATGGCCATTTCTAAGTGACATCTGTTTAATCCACAAGAAATCAACATTTAGTGCTTTGGAAAAGGGAGGCTGATGGAAACGTTACCATGTAGGTAGAAAAATGAAAACAAGATGTATATTTTGAAACAAAATGTTTAATTTTAGATGAGTAAACACTATGTTTTCCGTATTTATTATCTTTGGGATAAAAATATCCAAAAAATTTTTTTCAGCCTGGGCAACATAGTAAGACCCCATCCATAAAAAAAAAAATTTAAAAGGTAACTGGGCATGGTGGTGCACACCTGAAGTCCCAGCTGCTTGGGAGGCTGAGGCAGGAGGATCACTTGAACCCAGGAGTTTGAGGTTACAGTGAGCTGTGATTGCACGGCTGCACTCCAACCTGGGCAACACAGCAGGACCCCAACTCTAAAAAAAACCTTTTTTTTTTCTTTGATGAGGGAATTTTCAAGCCCTCCCAGAGATCCCTGTAGGCTGCTATGTGTGAGTCGTTTGCCTGATATGGTTGGTGAGCCCGTGGGGGGAGACAGGGCTAGATGCCTCCAGAGCCCCCTGGGTGTGGAGAATTCCAGCTTTGTGCCAGCCACCTCTGGGTGTTTCTGGAACCACTACATGTCCCAGTGTCCACTGTGACTTGCCTGGTAGCAGAACTGCATTTTGGGAGGTGGAGCGGTGGCTGGTCCTCCTGCAAATCAAAGGCTGTCATCTTTGTTTCTTTGTTTTTTCAAGACGGAGTTTCACTCTTGTTGCCCAGGCTGGAGTGCAGTGGCATGATCTTGGCTCATTGCATACTCTGCCTCCCGGGTTCAGGTGACTTCTGCCTCAGCTTCCCAAGTAGCTGGGATTATAGGCATGTGTCACCATGCCCGGCTGATTTTTTTTTTTTTTTTTTTTTGTATTTGGTAGAGATAGGGTTTCACCGTGTTGGTCAGGCTGGTCTCGAACTCCTGACCTCCAGTGACCCACCCGCCTCGGCCTCCCAAAGTGCTGGGATTACAGGTGTGAGTCACTGCACCCGGCCCCAAAGCCTGTCAGCTTTGACACTTGTCGGTTAAGTGCCACTATGGAAGGGGCTCTGGTTTAGACACCTGTGAAAATACGTCTCAGGGCCCAGACACTCCAGCTGCCATGTGGTGAGCACTCGGCCCCTGCCAGAGCACGTGCTGATCAGCCAGGCATCTGCACAGACCTGTCGGGAATGAAGGACTAGAGACGTCCCTCCGCGTCCTGAGGGCTGCTGAGAGGGAGGCTCAGTTGCTCTGATCTGGCTGCAGTGTCCCCTCCACAGCAGCCTCCTCGGACTGGAGTGCAGGGAGAGGCCAGCAGGCGATTCGGGGATACGTGTGTTTAGTGTTCGGCAGCCTTGTCACTGAAAAACTTTGGTTTAGGGCCGGGCGCGGTGGCTCATGCCTGTAATCCCAGCACTTTGGGAGGCCGAGGCGGGTGGATCACGAGGTCGAGAGATCGAGACCATCCTGGTCAACATGGTGAAACCCCATCTCTACTAAAAAAATACAAAAAATTAGCTGGGCATGGTGGCGCGTGCCTGTAATCCCAGCTACTCAGGAGGCTGAGGCAGGAGAATTGCCTGAACCCAGGAGACGGAGGTTGCAGTGAGCTGAGATCACGCCATTGCACTCCAGCCTGGGCAACAAGAGCGAAACTCCGTCTCAAAAAAAAAGAAAAAGAAAAACTTTGGTTTAGTGTTGGCTTTTTGTTTGTTCTAGTAGTTTCGATACTTAAAAAAAAAAATACATCTATGGCCGGGCGCGGTGGCTCAAGCCTGTAATCCCAGCACTTTGGGAGGCCGAGGCGGGCGGATCACGAGGTCGAGAGATTGAGACCATCCTGGTCAACGTGGTGAAACCCCGTCTCTACTAAAAATACAAAAAATTAGCTGGGCATGGTGGCGCGTGCCTGTAATCCCAGCTACTCAGGAGGCTGAGGCAGGAGAATTGCTTGAACCCAGGAGGCGGAGGTTGCGGTGAGCCGAGATCGTGCCATTGCACTCCAGCCTGGGTAACAAGAGCAACACTCTGTCTCAAAAAAAAAAAAAAAAAATACATCTATATGGCCAGGCGTAGCGGCTCATGCGTGTAGTCCCAGCACTTTGTGGGGCCTGAAGCGGGTAGATTGTGAGGTCAGGAGTTCAAGACCAGCCTGGTCAATATTGCAAAACCCCATCTCTACCTAAAATACAAGAATTTGCCAGGTGCGGTGGCAGGCTCCTGTAATCCCAGCTACTCCAGAGGCTGAGGCAGGAGAATCTCTTGAACCCTGGGGTGAGGGGACAGGTAGAGGTTGTAGTGAGTTGAGATCACGCCACTGCACTCCAGCCTGGGTTATAGAGTGAGTTTCCGTCTCAAAAAATATCTATATATAGGCCGGGCACGGTGGCTCACACCTGTAATCCCAGCGCTTTGGGAGGCTGAGGTGGGTGGGTCACCTGAGGTCAGGAGTTTGAGACCAGCCTGGCCAACGTGGTGAAACCCTGTCTCTACTAAAAATACAAAAAATACAAAATACAAATAATGCAAATACAAAAAATACAAACACACACACACACACATAAACATTTTATTGAAGTTTAACATACAAAAACGTGTACGCCCTTCAGATGTGCTGTTGACGAACTTTCCTATGATGAACAAACCCATGTGATTAAGGAGTGCCCCCTGTGGCCGGCCTGCCCCGGGGCACGCTGCTGACCCCTGGTAGCCCGCGGTGGTGCTGCCTGGTTGAACCAAGGCGGGCCCATCCTGCCGTGCGGGTCTCTGTTGCTAGTGTCTGGCTGGTGCTCCACTGTTTGCTACACTACCGTGTGTGTGTGTGTGTGTGTGTGTGTGTGTGTGTGTGTGTGTACGTACTTTACCCCCGTGAGGCGGGGAGCTCTGTGATGCCCTGAGGAGCTGGCCAGGCATTGGCGAGGGGTGCGTTTCTGCTGGGTGTGTTCCTGTGTGGAGTGGCCGGGCCTCAGGGTGTGTGCTCAGCTCTGGAGCGGCCATGTGGGGGCAGCGGTGCGTGTCTTTTCTGCTGGAGCCATTCTGATGAGTATTTGGTGAGATCGCATGAGTTTTTGTATTACTAGATTTACTTTTTTTTTTGAGACGAAGTCTTACTCCATCACCCTGGCTGGAGTGCAGTGGAGTGATCGTGGCTCACTGCAACCTCCACCTCCCGGGTTCAAGAAATTCTCCTGCCTCAGCCTCCCAAGTAGCTGGGATGACAGGTGTTTGCCACCACGCCCGGCTAATTTTTTTGTGTGTGTTTTTAGTAGAGACAGGGGTTTCACCATGTTGGCCAGGCTGGCCTTGAACTCCTGACCTCAAATGATCCACCTGCCTCAGCCTCCCAAAGTGTTGGGATTAGAGGTGTGAGCCACTGTGCCCAGCCAGACCTATGCGTTTGGCAGTTTTAAGTCTGCAGAACAGAGTGGAAAGTGCAGAGTCCGCTCCGACCCCATGGTCCTGCCAGGGTCACATGACTGATGTCTTGCACGAGTGTGGCGGTCCTTGTGTTTTAAGTGTCACCTTGATGGAGGTAGTAGACATGCAGGAAGGCAGGAAGATTCACTCTGTTTTTTTTTTTTTTGTGAGACCAAGTCTTGCTCTGTCGCCACGCTGGAGTGCAGTGGTGCAATCTCCACTCACTGCAACGTCCGACTCCTGGGTTCAAGTGATTCCCCTGCCTCAGCCTCCCGAGTACCTGGGATTACAGTCGCCCACCATCATGCCAGCCTCATTTTTGTATTTTTAGTAGAGATAGGGTTCACCATGTTGGTCAGGCTGGTCTCAAGCTCCTGACTTTGTGATCTGCCTGCCTCGGCCTCCCAAAGTGCTGCTTTTCCAGGCGTGAGCCTGGCTTGTTCAGTCTCTTTAGGGTACAGGCCACAGGCTTGCTGTATACCCACCACAGTCAAACACAGAACGTACAGCTCCATCCCCTAGAGGGCCCCCACGTGTCCTTTGTCATCAGCCACTCTCTGCAGCCCCAGCACCTGGCAACACTGACCTGTTCCCTGGCCTACAGGTTTGCCTTTTCTGAGCATCCTGCAAATAGAAAGACACAGTTTGTACCTTCAGAGTCCCGCTTCTTCCACTCAGCATGGTGGGTTCGAGTCACATCCATGTCCCTGTGGGTGTCGCTAGTCATCCCTCCTTACTGCTGACTAATATTCCCATACTGAATGGACCGCACTTTCTTATCTATTCACTGGTTAAAGGACATTTGGGTGGTTTTTTTAATTTCTGCGTTGCGGATTGGCCTGCTGTGAACATTGGCACACGGGCTTTTGCATGAACACATTTTTACTTCTCTTGGGTAAGTAAATACTTAGGGGTGCAGTTCACCACCAGGTCGACAGGAAGTGTCTATTTAACTTATGAGAGCGGCGAGAATGGCATTTTTAATCTCTTCCTTCCAGAATGCGTTCGCTCCTTGTAGCTGTGGAGCCAAGTGGCTAGCCATGGTGCACGTAGGGCATGTGCAGAGAGCAAGGGCTGTCTCAGGACGTCAGGAGGTCTGCAGAGGCGCCCGGTGCTCCGCACAGCAGCCGTGGGTCCCTGGACAGGCGCGGCCAGCACACCAAGGAAATGGCCCTTTCAGTGCTCGGAAGCTTCACCCTAGGCAGGAGACCGTGATGGCGTGGGGCCTGGGGGAAGGGGATGCTCGTGAGGACCTCTGTTGACGCCGGTTCCTGTCTCCGCCCTCTAGTGCGGCATCGTGCTGGGGGCGCTGCTCCTGCTCTTCTGCTCCTGGATGACGCACTGCTCGTGCATGTTCCTGGTGAAGTCGGCCAGCCTGAGCAAGCGCAGGACCTACGCCGGCCTGGGTGAGCACCCTCCTGACCGCTGGCCTGGACCGGGGGCAGGGGCCTTACGCCTTTTGTTTATTTATTTCTCTACTTTATTCTTCAAGAGTTCCTTGGATAGCGGGTTTTTTCTTATTTTAAAATGGAATGGCACCGAAAAATTAGCCGGGCGTGGTTGCATGTGCCTGTCCTCCCAGCTACTATTTGGAAGGCTGAGGTGGGAGGGTCCCCGGAGCCTGAGAATCTGAGGTGGCAGTGAGCTGTGATCACGCCATTGTACTCCAGCCTGGGTGAAATAGTGAGACTCTGTCTCAAAAAAAATTAAAAATTAAAAAAAAAGTAATGCAGTTTTAAAAAATGCTGGGCGAAGTTGCTCATGCTTGTAATGCCAGCACTTTGGGAGGCTGAGGCAGATGGATCATTTGAGGTCAGGAGTTCCAGACCAGCGTGGACAACATGGTGAAACCTCGTCGCTACTAAAAATGCAAAAATGAGCCAGGTGTGGTAGCAGGCACCTGGAATGCCAGCTACTCAGGAGGCTGAGGCAGGAGAATCTCTTGAACCCAGGAGGTAGAGGTTGCAGTGAGCTGAGATCACGCCGCTGCACTTCAGCCTGGGCAACAGAGTGAGACTGTCTCAAAAACAAAAACAAAAACAAAAACAAAAACCTGTTTCCATGATCACATGCTTCACAATTGGAGTGACACAGAAGGATATGAGGCTTCAGGCCTCCCTGCCGCCCTGTGTGCCTGCCCACTCCCACGCAGGTCCACGCAAGCTTCCTCTTCTAAACTCAGGCCAAGGCAGCCGTCCTTGCAGTCCTGGGGCAGACCTGCTCGCTCTGTGTTTCTCCTGGACACCGGACGCCTTTGCCCGGGGCTGCCTGCAGTGAGCCTGGCTGTTCTCCCCACTCGGAATCCCATGGAGGCGGCTCCCCGGGCCCAGGCTGTGGCAGGGACTCAGGCTCCTCTCCCAGGGCCTTTGTCCTCCTGATGCTGTTGGTGCACGTCTGTTTCCTTTAGTTCTTTCTTGCTTCGAGACCATTTCAGCCAGGAGAGAAGGCTGCCCTTTCTGCTTCACTTCACTGTGGAACGTTTTCTACGTCGTTTGTCTTCAAGGGCGCCATCCCTCAGCTTCCTGTCTGCCCACCGGCTTCTGGCCCGCTGTCTCCTGCCTGCTGCAGCCTCAGTGCCCCTCGGCTCCACATTCCGTTTTGGGGGAATCCAGCGTGGGTGTTGAAATTGCAGCATCCGTGTTCTCAGGAGGTGGCCCCGGGGGTTCCGGTGAAAATTCCTGGCCTTGTGATGAAGGCTCCGGACCCTCCAACCTGTGTGTGGCTGGGACATTGGGTCCTCCCTGCAAAAGGTCATTCTGGCCCTGGGCTCGCAGCTCCCATAGCAGAGTGAGGAGGCAGGGGTGAGGGGAAATGGTGTTTAGGGGTCCAGGGGGCCTGAAAATAACACCTGCGCGGGCCGCACGTGGGTCCTGCCTCCTGCCTCCACTTCCTCCTGGTCCCCTTCACGTTGCCACGGAGAGTTCTGCGTTTGTTTCTGCCCTCAGAACCGGGAGATCCTTTCCTGATGAGGATTTCCCTGGCAGTGTGTTTTCTTGTCGTCATTTGAGGAGGTGAAGTTCACCGTTCAGTCTGATCCTCAGTGAGATGGCCTAATTCAGCTTGGGATGAAACATGCCTACCGAAGCCAGGAGGCCAAGCGCGCGGGGCCCTTCCTGGGTCTGAGCCGTGGCCTGCAGAGCGCCCTTTTCTCCCCAGTGAGGTCTCTACGGGGCTTCTGTAGCAGAGACCCCAGCTCCAGTACTTGGCTATGTCCTGAAGAAGATGGGTGACCCACGGCTGCAGAGGCCCCCGTTTCTGATAGCCAGCTGTCTGATCATTCATCGAAAGTCCCTGAAGAGTCAAACCAGTTTGGCTGCATGTGAAAGATTGGAAGGAAATTGCTGGATAGACGCTCTTCTGTGCCCCCTGGCGCTCCCACCTGAGCTTCCCGGCTTGAACTGCATGGGGTGACCGCAGTTCACTTCCGCCTGCCGGAAACAAGAGTCTAGAACCCCACCTGGGTCTCAGGTTATGCCTTCGACACCAAGCGCAGTGGCCTGCTTTGTGAACTCCGGGCCGACGCCCGTGGGCCCGGCTGCTCTCGGCCGTGGTCTGCCCTGGCTCATCTGGGAAGGGGGGAGACCTGCGCTGGGAGAGGCGTCCCTGGGGAGGGAAAGAACTCCGGGGCTGAGGCGAGCCCAGTCTTGAGGAGCTGTGGGTTTGTGGCGTGATGGTTGCTTGGGTGGTTAGCCTGGGGAGGTGGCCGCTGATCACCTACCCCTCCCCGCTCTCCTCCGGGGCCGTGGAGGGTGGACTTGGCCAGCCTGGAGAGGTGTAGTTTTTTGTTGTTACTGGTATATTTCTTTGCTGTTTTCAGCAGTTTCTCACTGCTGCTTCCCTGCCCTGTGTATCTTCCGTGGACGTGGACTTTCCTAATTCCCTCTTCAGAAGATACACAGATACATCAGTCATTGGACCTCCTTCAGCTGTCGTGGCCCCTGGTGAAGCTGTTCTGAGCCCCAGACCCTACCCTGTTGAGAGTTATGACCTGGACCCCAGCATGCGTGGTCTGGCCTAGAAGCTGCCTCCCCCAGCAGCAGCGACCGTGCGGCCCCTACGTGGCCTCTGAGTTCTTGGTTGTGAGCAGCGGTGTCGTGGGTGCTGCAAACGTCCCATCGTCAAGTGGTCCAGGCTTCTGTGGCTCCTGTGCTGGCTCGGGGAGATCTGGTGAGGCCTGGCCAGGGTACCACCTGCATGGAGGCCGTGCCCTCAGCTCGCTGCTCACAGACGCCTCCACCCTAGCAGGAGCTGGCCGGCACTGTGAGTCTACACTCGGGGGAGGACCAGGTCCCCGGGGCCTCGCTGGGCGCTTCAGCTTCTTCCTCCGTTTCGTTGTGCCAGGCAAGGCGGGATGCGAAGGAGTGGGGTCGGTCTGACTGGGCCTGGTGTTTGAAGCTGGGGAGGAGAAGTTGCCGAGGGATTGACACTGGGAATGGTGGGTGTGCGTTAGCCCAGGTGGGGAAAAGAAGGTGCACGGGGCCGTGTCTCAGCATGGCGGGCTCTCAGAACGTTGTCCTGGGAACCAGAAGGGAGTGTGGCCCTGACTTCCTAGAGGGCCTTCCATTTTCCCTGCCAGCAGCAGGCACGTTTTGGAACCTTCTTGGGCAATATGCTGTAGAGACTCAGCTTCCTTTTGGAGAATAAAAAGGCACGTGACAGCCAGGAGCACCTCCACGTTTGGAGGGTGAGGTCGCCGAGGATGTGGAGGGCATTCTCTGGTGACAGCGGGGCCTGGGCTGTGGGCTACTGAGGGGACTTCTGGAGTTCTTAGCGTTCGAAGTTCTCCAAAGCCTGAGGTCTGCCTCTGGGGCCCCGCTTGGGTGTCCGTGTTGTGGGCTGGACTCCAGGGGTGCCAGGCTCCGAGCCGCAGGTCCAGAAGGGCCAAGGTGGGCCCCGGGGGTGGGGGTCTCCGCTGCTCCCCGGCTCTGGTGTTTAGCCACGCTGAGCTTATTCCTAAGTAATTTAAAGTAACAAGGAGTGTTTTTTGGACTCACTCATACTAATTGGACTGTGTGTTTCCTGCTTTCCAAAGCTAGTCAGAGGCCCCGCAGCCCATGTGAGGGAGGAAAGCCGGGGCAGGAAGCTGGGGCTGCCGACGGGGTGGGGCTGTCCTGCCACGTGCACCTGTCTCTGGGTGTGCCTTAGAGCCGAACTTCCTTCGCCCTCATCCAGCCGGGCTGTGGGGGAAGCACAGGGGTCACCAGACCACTGCTCAGGGCCTGAGAGGGACCCTGCTGAGTCAGCGCTGTTTCTCATCTGCTGCAGAGAATCCCCTTGTCAGGAAGGTTCCTCCTGTGGTCGGATGCCCGTCAGGGATGCGTGCTCCTCATCAGCAAGGCTCCTGGCTGTCCACATGGACCCCATAAGCCCAGGGTTCTCGTCCTCTCCCTTCCTGAGGCACACACTTGAAAGGGTGCTCTGTTTTTTCTGTAAATCACAACCAAAGGGACTCCCTCATAGTCCCTCTGGTGCAGGCTGTGGTGCTCAGGCACCTGGGGCTGGCACCGAACCCTCTGGGCACCTGCAAGCTCTGGCAACACCATGCGGTTCAGCCATGCCGGGCTGTGGGGTGCTCTTTCCAGTGGGCCCCCAGTGGTCACCGGTGGGGAGGATGGTGCATTGCAGGGACTTGTCTCTCTCTGTCTTTTAAAAAATCAGATTGAGTGAGGAAGAACCTTCTTCCTGTCCTCTCACTCTGTCTTTGTTTCTTGTAGTTTCATTTCCCGGGGGCCAGGATTTGAAACACCCCCTGCCTGGAGCACCTGCACCTTGGGTTTCTGTGAAATCTTGGCAGCTATGCTCAGTAGCTTTTTTCTGGATGTGCTTCTCACGCTGTTGGATTGAGTGTTCCTTCTCTTTTCTTTTGCACTAGCATTCCACGCCTACGGAAAAGCGGGCAAGATGCTGGTGGAGACCAGGTAAACCCAGCCCTCCTGCGCGCCTCCCTCCCCCGTGCCCAGACACTGGGGACCCTCCCAGCGGGAGTGAGCCTTTCACTCCCGGATTCGCCTATAACTCACGTTTCTCAAGAGTCGCTAAATATACAAAATTCCAATTTATTGTACCTTTCAGTGTTGCAAGAAAAATTTAAATATGGAAAACTCCAAGAACACGGAAAATAGGCCTCCCTCATTGTAGTTAATCTCTCAGCAGAGTTCCATACTCCGCCCCTGCCCCAACACTGCTGCACAAAGGTGGCGTTCCGTTGCAAATGTCATACTTTTCTTCCTTTGGAGTAAAATTTCCTGAGATGAAAAAATGTATGAGATCAAAAAATTGCTGGGAGATTGTACTTGTAGGCTTCTAAATTAGGAAATTGTAAACTCAAAAGAGCAGCCGTTTTTGAAAGCAGTGGATTATTCTTTTTTTTTTTTTTTTGAGACAGGAGTTTCGCTCTTGTTACCCAGGCTGGCGTGCAATGGCGCGATCTCGGCTCACCGCAACCTCCGCCTCCTGGGTTCAGGCAATTCTCCTGCCTCAGCCTCCTGAGTAGCTGGGATTACAGGCATGCGCCATCATGCCCAGATAATTTTTTGTATTTTTAGTAGAGACGAGGTTTCACCATGTTGATCAGGATGGTCTCGATCTTTTGACCTCGTGATCCACCCGCCTCGGCCTCCCAAAGTGCTGGGATTACAGGCTTGAGCCACCGCACCCGGCCGGATTATTCTTTTAACTTGACTAACATCGTAGGGCTTTTTTTTTTTTTTTTTTTTTTTTTTTTGAGATGGCATTTTGCTCTTGTTGCCCAGGCTGGAGTGCAGTAGCATGATCTTGGTTCACTGCAACCTCCTAGGTTCAAGTGATTCTCATGCCTCAGCCTCCTAAGTAGCTGGGATTACAGGTGCCTGACACCACGCCTGGCTAATTTTTGTATTTTTAGTAGAGATGGGGTTTCGCCATGTTGGCCAGTATGGTTTTGAACTCCTGACCTCGGGTGATGGCATTTCCTGCTCCCTCTTCCCTGCAGCATGATTGGGCTGATGCTGGGCACCTGTGTCGCCTTCTACGTGGTCATCGGCGATTTGGGGGCCAACTTCTTCGCCCGGCTGTTCGGGTTTCAGGTAAGGATGTGTTCAGGTTTCTGGATTGTTGTTGAGATGCTGACGGCTTTTCTGAGGCCCTCCGTGGGATCCTGCCAGGGACCGAGACCAGGGCGCTGGTCGGGAGATGCTTCTGTCGAGCTGCTCTCAGTCCAGGGGCTTAGGGGAGTGCAGGGGCTTTGCTGGGGTCACATCTGTGAGAGGTGTGGGGGAGGAAGCCAGGCAAGCCGAGTCTGACGCTATGTGGATGAGGGCGGGGTGGGGGAGCCTCAGACCCAGGCACCGTGCAGAGCAAGTCTCTGCCAGCCCGAGCTGCCCATTGGAGGGCAGAGGTGGCCAGGCCATTGGGCATCTCTGGCTTCTGTGGTCACCCAGGTTGCTGGGTGGATCCAGAGCCTCTGCTGCGGGGGCTGTGGACTCAGCACTTCTTGCGGGGACCTTGGTGTGGCCTCCTCCATGCTTTCCCCCCGCCATGGACAGGCCACACCACAGAGAGGCCACCTGATGGACAGGGAGAGACACACCTGTCCCTCCCTGCTGGGGAGCACGGCCCCTTGCTGGGTGGACGGGCATCATGGCAGTTAGGGTGCTGACAGTGTAGAAAGGCTTTCAAGCCGGGCGCGGTGGCTCAAGTCTGTAATCCCAGCACTTTGGGAGGCCGAGGCGGGTGGATCACGAGGTCAAGAGATCGAGACCATCCTGGTCAACATGGTGAAACCCCGTCTCTACTAAAAATACAAAAAATTAGCTGGGCATGGTGGCGCGTGCCTGTAATCCCAGCTACTCAGGAGGCTGAGGCAGGAGAATTGCCTGAACCCAGGAGGCGGAGGTTGCGGTGAGCCGAGATCACGCCATTGCACTCCCGCCTGGGTAACAAGAGCGAAACTCTGTCTCAAAAAAAAAAAAAGAAAGGCTTTCAAAGGCCACAGTCGAGGCAGGGGTGTCCTCTCCAGGAGTGGAATGTACCAGATCTGTTCCGCGTCATAGAATATTCCAAGAAGTGTCCAGGGAGCCAGGCCCCCTCGTCTTCTTCTGAGAGTCTCCCCGTTGGGCCTCCCATTTTCTGTGCTTCGCCTTGACCTCAGTAGAGCTTCGGGCCTGCCCTGCCCGTACAGCACTCTGCACCTTTCCCACCCACCGCCCAGGGCCGCTGACTCTGACCCGCGACTGCTGTGTTGCAGGAGTGTTGCCTCCTGCGTTATGGGGCTACTGTCCCCTGCTCTGCCTGGTCTTGCTCTGGGCTGGGCTGGGCTCCAGGGAAGGGAAATGCTCAGTGTCCAAGGTTGCACAGCACCGCGGCTGCGAGAGCGGTTTCCTGGCGAGCGTGCCAGCCTCGGACCCGCCAGCGTCATTTACCCGGATGCCGTTGGCTTTTGAGCTCGGGGCGCTCCGCTCCGTGGCAGTGCAGAGAGCCGTGTGGTGAGCAGGCCCGCACTGTGGCCAAGGCCCTTCCTGGCTTCCCACAGGTGGGTGGCGCCTTCCGCACGTTCCTGCTGTTCGCGGTGTCGCTGTGCATTGTGCTCCCACTCAGCCTGCAGCGGAACATGATGGCCTCCATCCAGTCCTTCAGCGCCATGGCTCTCCTCTTCTACACTGTGTTCATGTTCGTGGTGAGTCTGCAGTGCTCGCGGGCGCCCACTGAACGGCTGCTTCTGACAGCAGGCCTGTGCCCGGGTCTGGTGTGGCCGCTCCTGGGAATGTGTTGGAATGAGCAGGATATGCCATGAAGTGCCATTCATCTTGAGGCCACTGGGCACCACGGGGCAGACGGGGCTGGGTGGACCCAGGTGCGGTTGGCTGGCGGGAGAGGCTGGGGCTCAGGGCGGGGTGGCTGTGAGGCTGGTTTCATGTCATCCACGCAAGGAGAAGGGAACACCAAGTCCACTTGCTTTGTGCAGAGATGTCTTAGGTGGGGTTTGTGACCAAGGCTCACAGTACCTGTGTTGTTACACAAGGTGGCAAACCATTGTTTTTCTAAATAAGAATTGATAACAGGATGGACTGGAAGCCAGCTGTGAACAGGAAACTTCCCAGAGCCCCCAGTGCATCCTCCATTCTCTGCCTGGGACCTACCCATTCCCTGGCGAGGTCAGAAATGACCCTTCTGGAGTGGCCGGAACCTGAGTTTGCAGCGGGTTTGCACCTGGACAAGGGCAGGTGGTCACAAGCCAGGATCTCCGGTGTTCCTCAGCTCTGCCAGCGAGGCCTAGCCCAGTGGCAGCACCTCCTTACTCTTGAGATAGCCGTGTCATTGGTGGGCGTCTTTTGGAAGATGTCCATTTCTGGCACAGTAGAGGATGGAGGGGCCTGCGCGTGCGGGAAACCACCCTCCGTAACTGATGGAAACTGGGGCTGCGTGCGCTCGGTGGTCTCCCTCTGTCTGTACCAAGCTGCCCCCTTGCCAGATCAGCTGCTTTGCTAACTGCAGGGTGAGCCAGGGTACTCTGAGGCAGGGGCAGGAATTCAGAAATGCGCGGTGTCCCTGCCTCCAGCTGGCGGTCCGGGGTGCCAGGGGCTGGGCTGTGGGTGGGAAGATCCGTGTTCCTCTCCCACTCCTTCCCAGCGGGATGCCGATTCCGCCTGCGTTCTGACCGTCTGTGCTCTCTCCCTGCCCCTGCAGATCGTGCTCTCCTCTCTCAAGCATGGCCTCTTCAGCGGGCAGTGGCTGCGGCGGGTCAGCTATGTCCGATGGGAGGGCGTCTTCCGCTGCATCCCCATCTTCGGCATGTCCTTTGCCTGCCAGTCGTAAGTGTCCCGCTGTGGCCCCTGCTGGAGGTGGGTTCTGTTGGGGAGAGGGCAAGCTGCTGGCAGACCGGACCCTCTGTCTTTCCCGTTTCCTGTGATGGCTCTTTGCTGGCTGCTGAGGTGATGTCTTGCTCAGTGATGACCTTTCCCCCTCCAGGTTGGGGGAGATGGTTATATCTTCATCGAGTGGTAAACCGGCTTCCTTCCTGGGATGTGTTGGGGGCTAGCTGGTGGGCGTCCCGGGTTTGCCAGATCCCCACAAGCAGAACGTTGGCTGTGGGGGATACAGCAACAGCCCAGCCATCTGACGGCACCGTCCCAAGCATGGTGCCAGGACTGAGCTGTTCCGAGAATATTTAAAAGGAAGTTGCAAAAACATTGACTTCAGACGGCTGCTGGATGCGTCGGGAGGCTGCATGTGTGCGTGAGCCTGCTTCTCTGGCACGCAGCGCTCTGTAAATGCAGATCGGGCTCTCCCATAATTCCAGCAGCATTACCTTCTCCACCAAAATGACAAGAGTGGGTGATTCATGCCTGGTTGGAACATGCTAACCGGCTGAAAAGAGAGGCGTAAATCCGGCGCGGACGGGAAAAGACCATCGGTGTGCGGGGGGCTGGCAGAGCAGCCCCGTCGCGTTAGTGGGCATGCACTGAGCCAACCGTAAACTAATGTGACAGATGAAATTTGTTCATACCGCTGTGTTTACACCCACACGCGAGATCCAAATCGTCATTTCCCACTTAGCATCTCTCTTGGCAGCTCCGTCTCCACCAGAACGCGCCCCAGTCTTGCTGTTTAATATCCATTATGATCGGTGACAGAAGCCGCATTCTTCCGCCGTGTACCTAGTTACCAGTTGCCCTTTGTGTCTGCGTGTTTGCATATTTAGAAATGCATCTGCAGCTGGGGTTTTGGTGGTGGCCACATAGTAGCCAGTGCGTATGGGTTGGGTTTGCTTCTGGAATCAGGTGCTGGGTTCTGAAGCACTGGGGTGTGCGGCCCGCCAAGTGCAGGTTTCCTTCTGCCCTCCCCCAGGGCGTGCAGGCCACGGGTTCACCCCACGTTCTCCGGAGCAGGGATGCCCTGCCAAGTGCAGGTTTCATTCTGCCCTCTCCCAGGGCAGGCGGGCCTGAAGATTCACCCCACGTTCTCTGGAGCAGGGACGCCCCTCCCTGTGGTGGCCACTGCATTGACCTCCCCATCCCTGAACCCAGGGATGTTTGCTGAGAGCAGACAGCTCTTCCCGCCCACAGCGTCACTGCACCAGCGTGCCTGTCTGCTGGTGTGGGTGGCTGGCCGTGCCATCCACCTGTTTGATTGATCTGGATGCCAGCTGGGGCCAGGCCTCCCCTGTGTCTTCAGTATCTGGCCCTTTCTGGTAAACATATACCTGGTTATGCAGAATGGTTGGTCTAGGCCCAGAGAAGTGGCTGCCGCAGGACTGAGCCCAGGAGGCCCTGGAGGGCAGGGTCTGTCTGGAGACCGGGGTCCCCATCTTCACCATGGGGCAGAGAGGCACACACCCGAGAGCTACACGCAGACAGCTGCACTGACTGTGGAAGGCCCTGAGCCTCAGAGGCTGCCTCACAAGGTGGACAGGCCAGGGATGCTCTGTGGGCCGCGGGCCGGCGCTCAGCACCTCCCCCCATCTGTCGAGCTCCTTTGCAGGTGACCAGGAGGTTTGGTGGCTCCTGCCTTGTTTCTTTCCAGGGATGATCCTGGGGGTTCCTGGGGTAGGTGGTCAGGATTGGAGAGGAGCCTGGGGCTTGGCCTTCCACCCTGGCTATGCCACGTGCCTGGGACGGCCCTTCCCACAGTATCCATGGCTTCCTTGGGGGGTCACTCCCTGCAGTGTGTGTTTGGGTCTGGGGGAAGCATGTGTCATGGGACTCCAGCACTGGTCCCCTCAAGCCAAGACCCTCTTTGTGGACTCAGCTCTGGCCAGAGGACAGTTTAGCACTGGGGAGTTCACGCCGCAACACGGCCTTCTCTTGGAGCTGTGTGTCTGGGGCCACGGAGACCTCTCGGGTGTTTCTGACTTCTCCACCAGCCTCCTGGGGCTGCATGCACGTGTCGGCCTCTGAGTTCCCCTCTAGCCTGGGCCGGGGGAGGGCGTGTGTCCTGCAGAGTGCCCTGAGTGCTGCTGATGGCACGCCACGCCGAGGGCAGCCTGATGGGATGGTGCGCTAGGACCGGGCAACAGGACACCGGCAGCTGCTGGCAGGGCCTTCTCACTTGTCCTCGTCAGTCTGCTGGGTTCCTTTTTGCTGGAGATGGAGTCCAGCTCTGTCACCTAAGCTTGAGTGCAGTGATGCGATCACGGCCCACTGCAGCCTCGAACTCCCGGGCTCCTTCCTCAGCCTCCCAAAGTGCTGCTATTCAGGCATCAGCCACTCCGCCTGGACTGGTTTGTTTTTTAACAAAGTCAGGATGTCTTGTTTTTCTTTCACTTTCTTCAAGGCGGTTTGGGATTTGGATCTGCCAGCCGCTCTGCTGGTCCGTTGACTGGCTGCTGGCTTTCTGCCCTTCCCCTGGTCCACCCAGCTTCCTTTGTGCCCTTGAGCCCCTGCCCCAGGATGGCCATGGCCACGGCCACCGAACATCCTCGGAGCGGCCCCCTAGACTCCCCACTCGTTTAGCTCCCGGCAGAGTGGCTCTCACCTGTGCTCTGGGGTGAACTGCCTGGCCCAGCTCCATCCTCTCCGGTTACACATGGATAGTCCATGGCCCCAGCCTCTCCCGTCTCTCCCGCCCTTCTCCGGGGGCCCAGGTCCCCGTGCACATCCTTGGATGGGTCTGTGCCTGTGCACGGCTGTCACATCCTGGCTTGGCCAGTGGCTTGGGTCCCTCCCACCCCCAGCAGCAGCACGCTCCTGGCACGAGGCGTGGGACTGAAGCCAGTTTTCTCGTCACACGAGTGAGAGGCTGCAGTGGGAAGCGCGCCCTGGCCTTCTCCTCGTCTGTGCCGACTCCGAACCCGCCTGCGCGGAGGCGCTGAGATGGGCCGGCCCCTGTTTTGACAGCGATTCTCTGAACAGCTTCCTGCCGCTGCTTCCCCTGTAAACTAACTGCGTTGACTCTCGGTGCCCCCTTGCTGGCGTGGAGCAGCAGCCTGGTGTCCCGGAGCCTGCAGGAATGTTCGCAGGTCACACGCTCTGGGGGTGTCCTGCGTGGACGGCGCACGCTCTGGGGGTGTCCTGCGTGGACGGCGCACGCTCTGGGCGTGTCCTGCGTGGACGGCGCACGCTCTGGGGTTGTCCTGCGTGGACGGCGCACGCTCTGGGGGTGTCCTGCGTGGACGGCGCACCCTCTGGGGGTGTCCTGCGTGGACGGCGCACGCTCTGGGGGTGTCCTGCGTGGACGGCGCACGCTCTGGGCGTGTCCTGTGTGGACGGCGCACGCTCTGGGGGTGTCTTGTGTGGGGGCCACTGTAGCGCTCCTGTCCTCAGCACCATGACATCCTGGCCTGAGTGCCAGGACTCAGTGTTCGCGGAATGTTGCGTGAAGGAAGGTCAGAGGCTCCTGGCGGTTCCTGGGAGCAGCACCACTGGGGAATGCATACCTCTCTTGGGTCCGCTGTGAAATGGCCTGTTTTTATACAGCCAGGTGCTGCCTACCTACGACAGCCTGGATGAGCCATCGGTGAAAACCATGAGCTCCATATTTGCCTCCTCCCTCAACGTGGTCACCACCTTCTACGTCATGGTAAGAGCCTCGCCACGCCCTCTCCACACCTGTGTCATGCCAGCGCGATGTGCTGTGCTGCCCTGTGGGACCGCCTCAGGCACACCCCTGGCTCTGTGTGCTGCCAGCTCGTTCTCTCTGTTCTCATCCCGGTGTCTGGAGGCCGCGTGGGGACCTGGGACAGCTCCATCAGCTTCCGTCATTCCAGGACCAGCCCCATGAGCCCGGGTCCACCCTGGGCCAGGAAACTCTCCTGCCCTGAGGAGCCTAGCACCAGGGCTGCTCCCCGAATGCTTCAGCCCAGCCACTCTTACTGTCTCTCTGTACTCTCTGTACCTCTGTTAATTCTCTGTAGAAACGGCATGTTCCCTACAGAAAGCGGAGATTTTAAGAAGGAGGCTGAATGGTGGAAGGCCGTCTCTTGCAGAGCTTCACTGTTAGGTGGACTGAAGGCCATTCTTGTGCGCAGGGCACAGGTCTCCCCCCATGCCCTGTCCACTGTCACAGGGGCCACACAGACTGGGAAGTCTGTCTGCTACGCTGCCCTTTCTCTTCCTCCAACAGGTGGGGTTTTTCGGTTACGTCAGCTTCACCGAGGCCACGGCCGGCAATGTGCTGATGCACTTCCCCTCCAACCTGGTGACGGAGATGCTCCGTTTGGGCTTCATGATGTCAGTGGCTGTGGGCTTCCCCATGATGATCCTGCCGTGCCGGCAGGCGCTGAGCACGCTGCTGTGTGAGCAGCAGGTGAGACTCCCAGGGCGCTCTCCCGATCGTGATAGCACAGGCCAGGCTCACTTCCCATGAGCTCCCAGCTGTCCCGAACCAGAGAGAGAGCAGGAAGGTGGGGATTTGCTTCAGAGGAGTCCTGCAAGGCTGGAAGCTGGGGGTGCCTACAGGACCCAGATTGATGGGCAGGAGCTGATAACGGTGAGTCTGGAGACTAGCACTTGGAGTTCACTGCGTAGTTCTCATTACTTTTGTGTAACTTTGAAAAATTTTAACAATGTAACGAAAGCTTTTTGAATCATAAGAGAGGCTGAGTTTGATGTAGGCCATAGTGGTGGTGCCTTTGGTCCCAGCTCCTCGAGAGGCTGAGGTGAGAGGATCGCGCGAGTCCAGGAGGTTGAGGCTGAGTGTGATTGCGTCACTACATTCCAGCAGGGGCAACAGAGCAAGACCCTGTCTTTAAACAAATTTTAAAACTAGGCTGGGTGTGGTAGCTTACCCTTGTAATCCCAGCACTTTAGGAGGGTGAGGTGGGAGGATTGCTTAAGCCCAGGAGTTCGAGACCAGCCTGGGCAACATCGCTTGACCCCATCTCTACAAAAAATTAACAAAAATTAGCTAGGGGCCGGGCGCGGTGGCTCAAGCCTGTAATCCCAGCACTTTGGGAGGCCGAGGCAGGTGGATCACGAGGTCGAGAGATCAAGACCATCCTGGTCAACATGGTGAACCCCGTCTCTACTAAAAATACAAAAAATTAGCTGGGCATGGTGGCACGTGCCTGTAATCCCAGCTACTCAGGAGGCTGAGGCAGGAGAATTGCCTGAACCCAGGAGGCGGAGGTTGCGGTGAGCCGAGATCGTGCCATTGCACTCCAGCCTGGGTAACAAGAGCAAAACTCCGTCTCAAAAAAAAAAAAAAAAAAGAAAAAAAAAAAATTAGCCAGGGATGGCTGTGCAGGCCTGTAGTTCCAGCTACTCTGGAGGCTGAGGCAGGAGATCACTTGAACCAAGAGTTCAAGGCTGCAGTGCGCCGTAACCCTCCATCGTACTCCAGCCTGGGCTACAGAGCGAGACCCTGTCTCTAAAAAAGAAAGAAAGAAAAATTAAAAGTGAGGCTGGGTTTTTTACGTATGTAGGCAAGGCAGATACGTAGTTCTTGATAAGAAATTTTCAACTGTAGGAGGAACCAGGAGGCTGTCCCGGTTCTCTCCGTGCAGAGCTAACCATGGAAGGCACGCTGTGCTGTCCTGCGCCCCGAGCGTGGGGTGCAGTGTTGGGGGAGCCCTGCCCCATCCAGGTTCCCCACCTGCCTCCCCTTGGGAGCTCTGCCAGGTGGCCCATCCTCTTCTGTCTGGCAGCCTGAGATCTGTGAGCCTGGTCTGTCCTGTCAGCTGGGACTCCCAGTGGCTAGAGGCGCAAGTTCCTCTTGAACTGTTTCAGCCAAGGTGGGTGGAGTGGTCTCAGAGGACCCTGGGGAGAGTCCATCAGTCACGGTGGGGGTGGTGGGTCTCCCTGAGCCTTGGGAGCAGCAGCACCGGGCTCACTGTCCATGTGGCCAGGTACACGGTCACCACAGCCTGGTGGCGGTCATCTGCCTCCTGTGGACTTCCTCCAGACACGTGCCTTTGGCTTACAGCAGTGGCTAAGCACCAAGGACTGGGCGCCTCCCCCACGTGCTGGGGCTCCTCTCTTCTGAAGAGTTCAGGCGCCTAGGCACAGGCGAGGCAGGATCGAGGAGGCAAGGGCAGAGCCCATCATCTGGCCATGGGGTCCCCCCGCTCTTCCGGCCAGGCCCACTTTCACTGTTAGATGTTTTGTGCCTGAGCAGCATGTGTATTTCTGTACATGACCCATTTTTACGTTGTTGAGAAGGTGACAGTGGCATGAAAGGTGTTGTGAATCAAGTAGGAGAGCTCGCGCGCATCTCTCCACCCCAGTGGGGGTCTGGCTGTGTGTCCTCCGTCAGCGCTCGTGGCTTCTCTTTTCCCCGAGGTGCAGCCACGGCCATTGCACCTGCTGTCTTGTCTTCAGCCCGTGTGCCGTGAGCCTTTCTCCACAGTCCCTAGACGCCTGTAGGGGCTCTGCTCCCTTGCTTCTCTGCCTGTCGTGGGGGCCTGGGCACACTGCTCCTTCACCCTTGACCTCTCGTGGATAATTGTCTCACGACAGTCTTCGTGCTAAAGTCCCCTCTCCCCTTCTCTGGTCTGTTTCATAGGCAAATTTCCTCTTGTGTGATGGACCTAACCCTCACCTCCCTGGCCTGTATACAAATTATTGCCCTAAGGCCCATAGGAAATTCTGGCTCCAGCTCCCGCAGTCTATCCTGTGTAAAAGTCCATTCTGAAAATGGGATGCTTTGAAATTGCAGTTCTAGAAAGTTCTGCAGTTGTTTCCCAGCCCAGGGATAGTCATCATGGTCAGCTTGTCCTGTGTGTTAACTCATTTGGTCCTTACCATGGCTGGATGAGGAGATGCTTCTGTTTACAGATGAGGAAACTGAGGCACAGAGGTTAAGTCAGTTGCCCAAGGCACCAAGCTGGGGCTGGTGAGCGGCAGAGCAAGGATTTGAGACAGGCAGCCTGGCTCCTGCGTCCTGTACTGGATCACAGCCTGGGGCTCTGGGGCAGGTGGGGATGAGGCCATCTACCCTTGGCTCTGCCACCTCCTCCCTGTGCAGGGCAGTAGAGTCCTGGCTGCACCCTGGAGCCAAAACAGGCACTTGCAGTTTGGTGACGCCTCATCATGCCCTTCTCTCCTCTTCTTCCTGGACTTTGAAATTGCTCACTGCTTGTCGCACATCTGCTGGAGATGATGAGAACACGGCCATGTATGTGTGTGAGTGTGAGTGACTGTGCGCGCATGGGGGTTCTGCCTGCACCCTGAGACCTGTACGCAGGGGCGGCGCTGTGCAGCCTGTACTCTGCTCGCCATACTTCTGGGCACTTAAAAAACTCTTGTGGCATTGCTCTAAAAGCAAAAACGAAAACGGAAGGACTCGTTACTCACATTTCAAAACGAGGTTGTAAAATTTACAGCCTGTGCCTAGGGTGAGAAGCCCTGTTGCAGGTTCCTGTTCAAGTGGCTCAGCCAGATCTGACTGGGCTGGTCAGGCTCACCTGCCAGCTGAGCGTGCACCCGGCCTCCCGTGGAGATGTGCCTGGTGCATCTGGCCTCACGTGGAGAGTCCGGCCTCCCGTGGAGATTTGCCTGGTGTGTGCCCGGCCTCCTGTGGAGATGTGCCTGGTGCATCTGGCCTCCCGTGGAGATGTGCCTGGTGCGTCTGGCCTCATGTGGAGATGTGCCTGGTGCGCCTGGCCTCCCGTAGAGATGTGCCTGGTGCGTCCGGCCTCACGTGCAGATGTGCCTGGTGTGCCCGGCCTCACGTGGAAATGTGCCTGGTGCGTCTGGCCTCACGTGGAGATATGCCTGGTGCGCCCGGCAGAGCTTTTTCGGGCGTGGTGGAGGAAATCAGTCACGTCAAAGCCTTTTTGTTTCTATTTTCTTTTATACAGCAAAAAGATGGCACGTTTGCAGCAGGGGGCTACATGCCCCCGCTCCGGTTTAAAGTACTTACCCTCTCTGTGGTGTTTGGGACCATGGTCGGTGGCATCCTTATCCCTAATGGTAAGGCTGGGGGTTGCTCCAGTGCCGGGCAGTGGGACCCAGGGGCGCCGGTGTTCAACCAAGACCTGCACAGTCATGAGCTGTCCTCTCTGGTCTCCTAAAAATGTCTAGAGACTGTGTCATTGGCCCACAGAGAAGGGGAGGAGATAAAATCTGGCAGCTTGATGGAACAGCAGACACCCATTGACACCTGGGCAGAGAGGGACTGCAGTGCCAGGACACAGTCCTGACTTGTCAAATGACCCATCATAGAACAGCGCATTCTGTACCGTTGACCCTCGACTTCCGGTTTTCTTGGTGCTTTACCAGGGGGAGCGTTGAAGGCCCTGAACGTGTTTATGTTACCCAGATGCACCCCTACCTAGTAGACAAAGCAGAGCTCATTATCATCAGGGGAACCCGCATGCCTCCCCGCAGGGAGCATCCCTAGAGGTGATCTGTCTGGGCTCCTGCCAGGGGGTTGCACTCTGGTAGCATGCGCCAGGCCCTGGATTTTACAACCGCCCTAGGTTAGGTCCTGCCCAGCCTAGGGCCACTCATGGTGCAGCAGGTGGGAGAGGCAGCGTGGGAACTGGTTAGTGTGGAGCCCACATCTGGTGTAAGCAGAAAATCCCTAGTGTCTGCCTCTTTTTTTTTTTTCAAACAGAGTCTTGCTCTGTCACCCAGGCCGGAATGCAGTAGCGAGATCTTGGCTCACTGCAACCTCCACCTCCTGGGTTCAAGTGATTGATTCTCCTGCCTCAACCTCCCAAGTAGCTGGGACTACAGGCATGCACCACCATGCCCAGCTAATTTTTGTATTTTTAGTAGAGACGGGGTTTCACTATGGCCAGGATGGTCTCAAACTCCTGACCTCATGATCCACTTGCCTCAGCCTCCCAAAGTGCAGGGATTACAGGCGCGAGCCACCGCCCCTGGCCGTGTCTGGCTCTTTGAAGATGAACGATTAGAGAATTCTCCCCGGGAGCCCAAATACACTGTTGGAGGAATCAGCTGGCAGTTGGCAGGCTTATCTGGCACAGAGGGCATCTCTGCTCCCAGCTCATGCCTAAATGGCCTTTCCTTCAATGCTGACTTACTCACCCATATGCTGGGCAAAAGCTCAGGTTCCCTCCTGACTGGCACCCTTTCCTGCTCATCCCTTCCTGTCGCTTCTCTGTCCTAGTGGAGACCATCCTGGGCCTCACGGGTGCAACCATGGGAAGCCTCATTTGCTTCATCTGCCCGGCACTGATCTACAAGAAAATCCACAGGAACGCGTTTTCCTCCCAGGTAGGGGACGCTTGCGGGGAGGCCTGGACGAGGGCTGATTGGTATGGGCTGGGGAGAGGTGGAGGCAGAAGGAAGCCCCTGTTCAGCGTTTTCAGATGGGTTCTGTCCAGAAACTTAAAACCCACAAAAGGGACTTGGTCCAGTCAGCCTGGGAAACCCTGGGTTCACAGGGTGCATGGTCTTTGCTCAGCCGGCCTCACCCAGCTGCTCACCAGCTGTGCATCAGGCTTTCCTGAGAGCTGACTAAGCTGAGTTTTAAGCACTTTCCCCGTGGTGTTTTTGTGGTGACTGACTGTCCATGGACCTGCTGCCAACTCTGAGTCCCCTCCCCAGTCGCCCACCCCTAAGGCCACCAGCACTTTGGTTCCTGGTGTGACCCTCAAGGGGCAGTCTGTGCATGTGGGTGGCCGACGGTGCACGTGCATGCACATGGGTGTTCCTTTCATTGTGACACAGCTTCCTGCTGCTTTTGCTTCAAGTCCCTTGCAGGTCAGGTTGCTCCAAGCCGTGGGCACAGAGCTGCCTGGCTATTTTTAGCCGTTTCATGGTGTTCCGTGGCAGGAAAATTCCACAGTCTCAGTCTCTGAAGGAGTCACCTCTCCAGTCTTTTGCTTTTGCAGTCACAATTGCGATGAGTATCTGTGTTCATGAGCATCGTGAGATATTTGAGCACACATCTGTAGGAAGCCTTCCAGAAACAGAATCCTGTGTCAGGAGTGTGAGCGTTTACTGTAAACATGGTGGCTCTACCCAAGTGCCTGCAGCGTCGCTCCCAGCCCTGCTCAAGGCCTCTGTCCCCAGGCCCGGGACTTCTTCATTCTACCCTGGCGGGAACCTGGGCGTCTTTTCATGGGTTCAGAAGCCGCTTGCGTTTCTTTTTCTGTGAGCTGCCTGTGTTCTTCGCTTGCTTTTTATGGAGTTGAGCTTTTTTCACTGGTATATATGGATACTTTTTTTTTCTTTTTCTTTGAGATGGAGTCTCGCCATGTTGCCCGGGCTGGAGTGCAGTGGCGTGATCTCAGCTCACTGTAAACTCTGCCTCCCGGGTTCAAGAGATCCTTCTGCCTTAGCCTCCTAAGTAACTGGGAATTACAGCCACATGCCACCATGCCCGGCTAACTTTTGTATTTTCAGTAGAGACGGTGTTTCACCATGTTGGCCAGGATGGTCTCAATCTCTTTACCTCGCAATCTGCCCTCCTCGGCCTCCGAAAGTGCTGGTATTACAGGCGTGAGCCTCTGCGCCTGGCCTAATTTTTTGTATGTTTAGTAGAAACGGGGTTTCACCATGTTAGCCAGGCTGATCTCAAACTCCTGACCTCAGGTGATTCACCCACCGTGGCCTCTCAAAAGTGCTGGGATTATAGGCGTCGGCCACCTCTCCTGGCCTCTGTTGATACGTTTTTAAAGGGTATGCTATATATACAGCTACCATAAAGCCCATAATTCTTATATACAACCTGGTAAGTTTTTACAAAGTGAACCACATGGAACCACCCTCCAGAGCAGACATAGGACATCCCAGCACCCAGAGCTCCCCATGGTTGTCTCACTATCATCCCCCCCTACCCTGTACGTCACTGCCCATCTGTCTGCCAGCATTCCAGAATGATCCTGCCTGTCTTTAAGTTGGTAGATGGATTCTTACAGTGTATGTTAGAATACACGTCCATGTGTGTCAGCCACTTTCTCAGCATCTCGCCTCACTGCAGCCTCCACCTCCCAGGTTTAAGCAAGTCTCCTGCCTCAGCCTCTGGAGTAGCTGGGATTACAGGTGCTTGCCACCACACCCAGCTAATTTTTGTGTGTTTAGTAGAGACATGGTTTCACCATGTTGTCCAGGCTGTTTTCGAACTCCTGACCTCAAATGATCCGCTCGCCTCAGCCTTCTAAAGTGCTGGGATTACAGGTATGAGCCACTGCGCCCAGCCCCTTATGCAGCCTCCACCTCCCAGGTTCAAGCTATTCTCCTGCCTCAGCCTTCTGAGTAGCTGGGATTACAGGTGCGCGCCACCATGCCAGACTAATTTTTGTATTTTAGTAGAGATGGGATTTCACCACGTTGGCCAGGCTGGTCTCAGACACTCCTGACCTCAGATGATCTACTCACCTTGGCCTCCCAAAGTGGTGGGATTACAGGCGTGAGCCACTGTGCCCGGCCTGTTTGTTCTTTATTTTGAAAGTCAGAAAAGCTGAGGGTCTCTCTAGTCCTACATGAGGCTGGGGCTTTGGTCCCACTGCCCCAGAGCCAGGAGGGAGCTGGAGCAGCAGGCAGCTTAGAAGGTGCCTGAGGGTCACTCAGGACAGATGCCTGGGGCACAGGTGGCCACCTCACAGGGTTGCACCCAGAAGGCAGTAGTCCCCAAAGGGCCTGGAAGCTGGCTCCTGATCTTGGAAAGATGTAATGAAATGCACACTGTGGCTCTCAGACATGAGCCACCGGTGGGGCATCTGCCTGTAACCAGGGGACCCCCGAGGCCTGCTGAGGCTCAGGCCCTTGCTGGGTGGGTGCCTGGATGCTAACTGGGCTGCCCTGAGACCCACGTGGAGGCACGTGGTGCAGAGTAGCCAGAGCCCCGGCCCACAGCCATGCTTTTCATTCCTGGAGTGTGGAGGGCGAAGTGCCCATTCTACGTGTTTGGAGTGAAAAGTGGGTGTTTTCTCCCCACCTCCTGGGGACTTCTCTCTGCCTTGGAGTCAGCAATGCCTTGTGTGTCTGGAGGCCCTGATCACTCCTCCAGGGGAGGGTGTTACGATCCGGGCAGTGCGTGGCCCTTGGTCAGGACCCTGGATTTTCCAAGTTCAAGGGAGACGTCTGGAATGGGTTTGCATTCCTCCTGCGCCGCTGTGTTGATCTGACGGCTGCCGAAGTGAAAGTCACGGGTGCTCTGAAAGCAGGTGTCTGGCATGCCGGTCCCGATGAGTTACTGCATCCTCAAAGCAAGTTCTTTGGCTGTGCAGGAACCTGTGCCAGAAGGCACAGGGGAGAGGCTGAGCTGGGGCTCCAGGGGCTTCCCCTGCCACTGAGGCTGGGCAGCCACTGTGCTCCCCACAGCCCCCCGCCCCCCAGTTCCCAGCTGTCCGTCTGTGCAGAACTCCACTTACACCCTTATTTGGGATTCCGAGGGAACTACGGACCATTCTCTTGTCGACGTCACATGTTCCATGGTTAGACTGCAGTGGCAGGACGAGCACGGGGGAGCCTGGCCCTCACGCTGTCCTCAGGGCTGCAGCGCCCGCTCCACTCCATCATGTCTGCAGCCCAGTCCACGGGAGAGTTCTCACAGCTGCTTGGGGACTTCAGTGATCCCTGTGCTGTTTCCAGATGCCCAGCCCCCCTGCAGCATCTGCTGCTGCTGCCGAGTCCATGTTCCCGCCCTGGCCCCGGCACAGAGGCCCAGCACGTGACAGCCCGCAGACTGGATGTGGTCACTGCACGACTGTCCCCTCATGGACGAGGCACGGACACACACCAACACAGATGCCCATGTGGTCCCCTCCAGCTGGGTGGCGCTGCTGTCTCTGCCAGAGTGTTTCTTTTTCGTTTTAGACAGAGTCTCTGTCACCCGGGCTGGAGTGCTGTGGTGCAGTCTCAGCTCACTGCAACCTCTGCCTCCCGGGTTCAAGCAATTCTCCTGTCTCAGCTTCCTGAGCAGCTGGGATTACAGGCACGGGCCACCACGCCCAGCGAAGTTTTTGTTTTGTATTACTAGTAAAGGCAGGGTTTGACCATGTTGGCCAGGCTGATCTCTAACTCCCAACCTTGTGATCCGCCCACCTCGGCCCCCCAAAGTGCTGGGATTACAGGCGTGAGCCACCGCACCCGGCCACCAGGGTGTTTCTTAGAGGAAAGGCTGAGTGTGTGAACTGTGATGTTGTTGCCTGGGACAGCGGCTGCTCGTGCTCAAGGCAGTGGTCACTGGCGAATGCCCCACAGAGCCTGACAGCCTGGAAGTGAGCGAGTCAGGACGAGGAAAAGTGGGGATGGAACCTTCTAGCCTGTGGGTGTTCCCGGGTGTCACCATCTCAGTGTTCAGGGCTGCTCTGCCACTCTCACACAGGGGCTTGTCCTGAGCGGCATTTCGCTGGCCGTGCTGCGCTGCCTGGTGTCTGGTGGGGGCCCAGGGACAGCTCTCCTGATGGGGACCCCCTGGGGCAGGAGGCCGCAGCAGGCATGTGCGTGGCAGCGGGGCTTCCCAGACCCGCCTGTCTGGAACAGTCCTGCCCTCGTCCCAGCCCAAAGAGTCCACGAGGGCTCCCTGTGTACGGTGACCTTAAACCACCACTTCTCCGGTGTGTTTAGAGATGTTCTTGGACTTGGGGCTGAATTCAGGCCCCAGGTGCTTCCCTGAGAGGTGGCAGGCGGTGGGGGTCCCCGTTCCGCAGTTTCGGAGTCCCCTCCCCTGCTGACCAGCTTCACACTCGGCTCTCTGTGGGTCCTCGGTCAAGTGTGTTCTCCGTGTGCCTCTGCCCTTTCCAAGGCCCATTGGCCCTGGGTCTTCCGGGAAGCCTGCTGTCTTCCAGCATGGGGGAGGTTCATGTGTGTGATTTTAAGCTCAGAAAGTTGGGGGTTGAAAGAAATCATTGAAGTCATGGAGGTGTTTCTTTGGCCTGTCAGTCTCCATGGATATTTTAGATGAGGTCCACACTGAAAATAACCTAGCATAGGAGTTCGAGAGCAGCCTGGCCAAATGGTGAAACCCGGTCTCTACTAAAAATACAAAAATTAGCTGGGCATGGTGGTGCACACCTATAATCCCAGCCACTCAGGAGGCTGAGGCAGGAGAATCGCTTGAACCTGGAAGGCGGAGGTTGCAGTGAGCTAAGATCACGCCCTTGCACTTCAGCCCGGGCAACAGAGCAAGACTCCGTCTCAAAAAAAAAGAAAGAAAGAAAATAACCTGACATGAAACGACCAACCAATGTCTTTATCTTTGGGTCTAAAGTGTTGGAGGCCTGGAGGGGCTGCTCCTGCTGCGCTCCCTGGCGGATGGCAAACCCGGGGCTCTGGGGTTCCACCTGGGGAGTCGTCCACCCTGACCTGCCCATGTCCTGGAGCAGAGCTGCTTGCCCTTCCTATTTAGGTGCTCTCACCAGGATCCCCTAGTGATCGCCTTGGTGTTACAGGAAGTCCAAGTCGGGAGCTAAGTTTTTTGGTAGCTCCTCAGAAGGGAATTTGGGCCATCAGCTGGAGAAGTGTGAGAGGTACTTGGCGTGCGCAGCTGTGTCCAGTTAGAGAAACTCGCCCGGGATGTCCCAACAGGGTTCCCACAGTGAGGGGGGTGGTTCCCAGGCTTCCAGACAACACAGTCTCCTGTCTAGGCACCTTCCTGGTGGGTCAGATTAAATTTCCATCTGGATCCTTTACTCCAAGTGACCCAAGCCTGGCGTCTGCCCTGTGCTGGCTGGCACAGGCCTGTGTGGGAGGGCAGGGCCCTGAAGATATTGGTCCAGGGGCAGCTGTGGTGTAGGATGGGTCACAAGGGCTGTGAGGAGCCCCTAAGGCCTGCCTCTGATGGCCTTGCCGTCTGGCATCAGGCTTCCAAGCCATGGCCATCCGCGTCACCCACTGGCAGCTGGCCTTTCCACACCTGCTCTTTACATAGGCCTGATAGCCTTGGGAAATTGGAAGTTTCTTTTTAAAATTACCGTAAGACTGTGTTGGTCACCTTCCAGACACCACCATTGCTCTGGGACTCTTCCCTCCTGGGAAGATGTAACGTGGCTGAAGGGGCATCTCAAGTGGAGAACATGGGGCCAGGGCAGGGGCAGAGCTCTGTGGGCTGTCGAACCTGCAGGTCCTGCTGGGGCCTCCAGAACACACATCAGATGGTGTCCCCACATGCACCGGGGCAGGCCTGCTGTCGCCACAGGCTCCAGCCAGCTGTGGTTACTGCCAGAGGGGCCTTGGGCTCCCTGGGCATCCCATGAGCCAAAAGGCCCCTGCAGCCAGGCTTTCTGCAATGAGCCCACTGACCCTGGAGCCGCAGCCACACCTGGCGTCCGGAGACGCTGACACAGCCCAGGTTTCCGGGTGGCAGAGAAGGAGGTGGAGGAAGCCAGCTCCCGCAAGGTTGTCCTTCAGCCAGCTTCGGAGAGCATGGGTCCTTCCGTGCGGGGACCGTCTTCTCTAATTGCGTTGGACCAGGGAAGTCTCAGCAGTTCTTCTGAGCTGATTTTCTTTTTTTTTTTTTTTTAAAGAGCCAACATACCTTTCAGAAAGGGATTTTGAGTTCTGGCTCTGAGACCACAGAGGCGGAATGACACAGTCCCTTTGCTCTACCAGAGGCCACCTTGCCAGCGCGCCCAGGCTCTGCCGAACCAGGAGTTGGCGCTCCCCTGGGGAGAGCAGCTTGCGCTGAGCTGGGCCGGGCGGGAACCGCAGCACCTGCGGCTGTGGCCTTGGCCACGTGAATGACGGGAGGAGCGGGCCCAGCGCATTCACTAACATAGCAGGGCGGCAGGAGCTGGGCCACACGGTATAGAGGTTGTCAGGGTCACTGAGGCAGCACGCGTGATGCTTCTAATCGGCCAGAGGGGGCCTCCGGGAGGGAGGACGAGGTCACGCAGGGAGAGGCCTCGGCAATAAAGACTGCCTGGCGGTCAGCTCACAGAGTGACCTTGATGGGCACCACACCACAGCTATGGAGAGGTGGAGGTGGTTTCTGCCCCCGCCCCATGCATGGTGCCAGCTGTGGTGACTGGGGCAAGTCCTTCGTGCCCACGTGGGCTGTGTCCACTGCACAGGGCCGGTCCTGCGGGTTGTGTGGGAGCGCTCGCTTTGAGGACAGCATGGATGGGGGCTCTCAAGGTGGGCGGCCACCTGGAGGCCCCTGCTCCTCTCCCAGGCAGGTCAGCCCGGTGCTCAGCCTCTGCTCCTCTAAGGCTCCTCATGTCCCTGCAGCTTCCGGAAACTGCGCTCCCTCCTGCTGGGCTTTCATAGCTGGCATGCTCCCACACATGGTTGGCCCATGACCCCAGCTGGCATGGAGGGCACATCAGCCACAGGTTGGATGCCAGGAGTGCCACCGTACTCTGACTGACAGCGCCACATTGGGGCTCAGGCCCTCTCTCAGTGGTCAGCAGCTTCACCGATAGGCGGTCCAGGTCTCCCCAGGAGTGGCCACCTGTCCTCAGGCAGGGCCGACTGCACGCCCGTTCCCTGATCGGGGGACTGTGTCGTGCCCACCCTCCCACCCTCCTCGTACCTCACCCAGTCCCTGCCTCTGCCAGGCCGGTTTTATAGCCTGGGCAGGGGTGGGGGCCAGCTGTGACCCCCGCCCCTCGGGTCTTTGTCTCCTCAGGTGGTGCTGTGGGTCGGCCTGGGCGTCCTGGTGGTGAGCACTGTCACCACGCTGTCTGTGAGCGAGGAGGTCCCTGAGGACTTGGCAGAGGAAGCCCCCGGCGACCAGCTTGGAGAGGCCGAGGGTCTGAAGAAGGTGGAGACAGTGCGGCTCTCAGGTACGCGGGTCTCGGGTACGAGATTCTCCCGTGTGTGCCCGGCCCTGGCCCTCGGAGCCTTCTCAGGCTTCTCCGAGACTGGGCGTCTCCTGGGTCCGGTCCAAAGATTGCGCTCATCTGTCCAGCGGCCTCTGTCCTGTGTGGGTGCAGCAGATGTGGGGGGCGCCAGCCTTGTCCGTGACGATGCTCTGTGTATGGAGGCTGGCTGTGGCGTGGCCTGTATGCGGGGACCATGGGACAGGAGGACTAGGGTTTCGTTTCTGAGTGTTGCTCACGTGCCGTTGATTTAGCTTTGAGGATAGAAGTTTTGAGCCAGTTTTCTCCTGGACGGTGTCGGCGACCAGGCCTCAGTTTGGTTTGCCGCTTCAGGTGAGTTACTACTAGTTTACCAGGACTGTGGGTGGGGTTATGACCGTGCCCCTCCTGCAGCTGCAGCCTGCTTTGGGAGGGGCCCGCGGTGCCCTATAACCTTGATGCCCCCAGCTGTGGCGAAGCCCCGGGGCTACAGAGATGCGCGTTTCATGAGTGTGGCTTTCCAGGGCACAGCGCAGCTCCGTGTGCCCGGGGGCTGCTGCATCCCCGACCCTCCCTGGCCTGGATGGGGAGTGTCACACAGGCTGGTACTGCAGCAGCAGATGGCCCCAGGCCCAGGCCTGCCAGGAGCTCTGAGCGGCCGGTGCTAGGCAGGCATGGGTGCTGGCACGTGGGTGCTGTCCACGACAACCTTCACGTTGGGGTCTTCGTCCCCTGGCAGCGGCTGTGTTTACGCATCTATACTGCCCGTGTCCACCACATCCAGCACATCTCTGCAGAGGCCCCTGCTCATGCGGATTCGCTGGGCGGCGTCTGCGTACCATCCTGGGAGCCCCAGTGGGGAGCAGCACTGGCTGTGTCCGGGGGTCTCAGGTGGCTGTGGAGGTGCTGGCCAGTGACTTTGCCTCGGGGTAGGGTCTCCACTTCTTAACAGAGAGGAGGAGAGGTCCCGTGGAAGGGACCCCTGGTGTTGGCTGAGCATCTCTCAGCTGTGGTGACCCTGGGGCTTGTGGCCATCTCTGTTCCGGGCTCCGCACTCCTGTGCCGGCAAAGTCCCTTCCCAGCATTGTCACCTCATACAAACTGCCCTGAGGGACACTGTCCCAGGGCCTCCCTGGAGCCGCTGTGCTTAGAGTTGCCGAGGATGCCTGCACTCGGGTGGCAAGGGCAGGCAGGGGAGCCCTGCCTTCTGGGTTTCCTGCAGCTGGCAGGGCAGTGCTTGGGGACAGCTGGGGTCACCAGAGAGAGAATGGCAGTGTTCTGAAGCTCCAGGTGGCCTTCCGCTGCCTTGCGCTGTATTTGGTAATTGGGACTGGACAGAGTGCACCTGAAGAGGAGGTGGTGGTTTTGCACCCGCCTCAGTGGGCACCCCAGGCAGGACCACGTCCTTGCTGTTCGTGTGTCTGGGCTAGAGTGGGTGCTGACATGGCACTGTTGGTGGGGTTGTGGTAGCCCAGGAGCTGGAGTCCAGTGTGCCGGGACGCTAGCCCTGGACAGTGAGGGGTGTCGACCTCGTCCAGTGGTGCCGGGCCACTGGGGACTGGACTTCTCGGTGCCGGCCAGCAGGGGCCCCCGTCTCCCAGTGCTGTGCGGCCTCCGCCTGCGGTCAGTGCAAGCAGCTGTGTCCTGTCATGAGGCTGCCCGGGCCTCTGGCTCACCTGGTGCCCTCTGAGGCCACATCTGGTTTCTATTTCTTCCATGAGGCTGTAACAAAACACATGGCCCCTCTCAGAACCACATGGTGCTTGTTTTGCGTGTCTCCAATTTTCCAGACCCCGGTGCCCCCGTGATAGATGGGCCGCCTTGTGGAGGCCGGGGTGGGGCCGAGGGGCCTGTGCTGATGCACGCTCCCTGTCGGACGGCTGAGCGGAGTTTTATTGGTCTCTTTGATGCTGCAGAGGCCAAAAATGGTACCTGCTGACTAGGTAAGAGCCCTGTGTGGCCCTGAGCTGTGGCTGTGAGTCCCACCCTTGTGCACATGTCATGGCGGCCACGCACAGCCTGGGCCCCTACGTGTTGCCTTGCAGGCCGTGGCGAGCATGGTGGGTCCTTGCAGAGGCTCATGAAGACAGTTACCCATGAAAGCCAGGAGTCAGGGCACTCATGCCTGTAGCACCCTGAAGCTAGGAGTGGCCTCAGGTTTTGTGACATCTCCTTTCTTGGAGCTGCAGGTCCCCTGTCCTCCAGATGCCTGCAAGCCCCCCGCTTGCTGCACAGGGTGGTACTGCAGGGCCCGCACCCTTCAGGACCCTCATCCCCGCTCCCCCAGCGGGGCAGGCACAGCTGCACTTCTGCTTGGTGGGAAAATGAGGCCGAGCCTGGCTCAGAAGGGACCCAGACTGTGGTGATACGGGGGGAATGAGGGTCTGCTGGGTGTCGACGGGTCATGCATGTTGGCACAGGGGCAGAGATAGCCACAGTCCTGTGCACTCAGGCCCAAGCGGGGGCACACATGGCCCCCACGTGTGGAGCCAGGTCACATGGCTCGACACAGGCCTGAGGCTGCAGGAGGCAGGGCCTTTCGGAATCCGGCCGGGTCCTGCACGGCCCGTATGGTTATCTCAGACAGTGGGACCAGCCCCGTGTCATCTCAGGACAGCCGCAGAGACATGGCATAGAATTACAGCAGGAGGAGAGGCATGGGGGACACAGCAGAGGCTGTGAGAAGGCTTCTCAGGGCCAGCGCCGTGGCTCACGCCTGGAATCTCAGCAGTGTGGGAGGCCAAGGCAGGAGGATCACCGGAGGTCAGGAGTTTGAGACCAGCCTGGCCAACATGGTGAAACCCCATCTCTACTAAAAATACAAAATTAGCTGGGCGCGGTGGCTGGATGCTGAGGTGGGAGGATCACTTGAGTCTGGAAGGTCAGGGCCGTAGTGAGCTGAGATGGCAGCCTGGGTGACAGTGGGACTGGGTCTCAAGAAAGAGCTTTCTTAGCAGGGCAGGCAGGGGGCGTTGTCCCCACAGTGAGGGAGAGCAGGGAGAGGCAGGTGGCCCTCGCCTCTTGCACCATTCAGTGCCCTGCTGAAGGAGTGGGAGCCTCCCACGTCCCCACAAGAGACTGCAGTGGTGCCCGCCGCGGCGGAGGCAGAAGCAGCGCTGAGGCGGTGCTGCCTGCTGAAGGCTGGACCAGCATGGCTGTGTCGCCAGCCCAGACACCCAGGAACCAGGAGCCAGATGGCCTGGGATTCCCCCTCACATTCGCAAGGATGAGACCATGAAGTCATTGGTCAGCTGTGTCCGGAAGACTGGGCTGGAAAGTGCAGCCCTTCATGAGCAGTGCTCTCTCATAGCAGCACTGAGGGAACATGAAGAATCAGCTGTTAGAAAGTTGCGTAAAATCAGGGACCAGCTTTTCCAGGTCATGTCGGCGGCCATTGTTCTTGCCTCTGGCCAATGCGGAGCGCTGGAATCCTGACCTCCTGAACTCGAGGCGGCACCTGAGTTGATGAGGAACTCCGTCGGCGGGGTGCCGGACCGTGTTGAAAAGTCACTGCGTCTGGGGGCAGTCTGACGTGACTGTCTCCATCTTTACTGATCACAGGGCACACGGAGCCACAGCGTGTCCACGCCAGCAGCCCACGGAGCCACCTTGCGGACTCAGGTCCAGACAGCAACGTCACTGGCTCCCCGCCTGTCTGCGCTGGCCTCTGGTCCAGGGTGGACACCAGCCTCGAATGTGGGGTTGGGGATGCTTAGATGCTCCCCCTTCCCCTCCAGGTCACCTCCTCCAAGTCACTGAGCGTGTCTCACTCCAAAGACAGAGCCTTGAGCCGTGGCCTTGGCAGCCTTGGGGCTTCTGCAGCTGGCCGGACGGCAGGGAGGCAGGTCTGAGGGGTCTGCCCCCGCTGTGGCCGGGTGGCGGCCTCCGTCATTGTTAGGAAGTTGTGTGTTTCTGTGGGCGCCAGGAGCTGGGAACCTGCCACCCCCGGCAGTGAGGAGCCACTGGGACAGGACGTAAAGGTGCTTTCCTGGCACCAGGCTCCAATGGAGCTTGTGGGTCGTGGTTTTTTCAACTGGAGGGTTTTTTTTTGTTTGTTTTTAGCTGGAGCCTCACTCTGTCGCCCAGGCTGGAGTGCAGTGGCACAGTATCAGCTCACTGCAGCCTCTGCCTCCCGAGTTCAAGTGATTCTCCTGCTTCAGCCTCCTGAGTAGCTGAGACTATAGGTGCACAGTACCACCCCCCGCTAACTTTGTATTTTTTGTTGAGACCGGGTTTCACCATGTTGGCCAGAATGGTGTCAAACTCCTGACCTCAAGTGAGCCTCCTGCCTCGGCCTCTCAAAGTGCTGGGATTCCCGGTGTGAGCCACCATGCCCGACCTGGAGGTGATTTTTGAAGCCGGATGAGGGAGGATGGCTGCCCTGTGGCAGCTCCCTCCGCTGGGTGTTGCTGGGGGAGTGCATGGGGCCATCCCCTCCGGCCACCGCCGGCTCCGCTGGGTGTTGCTGGGGGAGTGCATGGGGCCATCCCCTCCGGCCACCGCCGGCTCCGCTGGGTGTTGCTGGGGGAGTGCATGGGCCTGTCCCCTCCGGCCGCTGCCTCCTCCGCTGTGGCTTAGCCGGTGTGCTGCTGGCCTCCTAGAAGAAATTCAGATGCCAGAGGTCCCCTCCCTCCCAAGGAGCTCAGTCATGAGCTGGCGGGGGGCACTCGCCACCAGGGCCCATTTCTGTCTTTGTGAACCCTGTGATCACGTTGAGATTGGACGTTTTTCAGTTGCTGATTTTGAGGTTTTTTTGTTAGTTTTACTGCAGCCAAGAGGCACTGCCGGCAAAGCATCCCTGACGCAAAGGTCGGCTCCATGTGGAAAAGTCTGTGTGCTGCTCGTGGACAGCTGCAGAGCGCCGGTGTGAAGGCCGGCCTGGCTGTGAGCGCAGCCCTCGGCTGGTCAGCTGCTGCTGGCGGCGGGGAGCCAGGACGCGCGCAGCCCTCCTGCAGGGGCCAGTGGCGTTCCCTGGAGATTTTCCAAAGGGACCTCTGGGCAGCTCCTGGCTCACCGTGGGCACCTGCATCCCGTGGTTCCTACACCCGCACAGAGCTCCCCCTGGAGCCTCAGACTGGTCGTTCAGGGCCTGAGGAACGGAATTTTGCTTCCTGCTGAGACGATGACTCCTCACTTCCTTTGTTTTGCGGCCTTTTCCTTCCCCTCCCCAGCCTCCCTTTCTTAACTCATCCGCTGGACGGTCCTCTCCATTGATAGCTGTGGCTTGTTTCCGCGTGGGGCCTCTGCCGAGGCGTCGTGGTGTGATAGAGACCAGTATTTTTCACCTGCTTGGGCTTACTGAATTGGTCACTTGGGCTGGGCACGGTGGCTCAGGCCTGTAATCCCAGCACTTGAGAGGATGAGGTGGGTGAATCACTTGAGGTCAGGAGTTTGAGACCAGCCTAGCCAACATGGTAAAGCCGTGTCTCTATTAAAAATACAAAGATCAGCCAGGCGTGGTGGTGTGTGCCTGTAATCCCAGCTACTCAGGAGGCTGAGGCACCAGAGTTGCCTGAACCTGGGAGGCGGAGGTTGCAGTGAGCTGAGGTTGCGCCACGGCACTCCAGCCTGGGTGACAGAGCAGGACTCCATCTCAAAAAAAAAAAAAAACAAAAAAAAAAGTTGAGTTTGTGACTTGGCTAAACTGTAGAGCCCAGCGTCTGCTTTCTGTTACGTAGTTACATAGCAGGGTGGTACCTTCCCTCCACGGTTCGTCTAGGACTCTCAACTCCAAACTGACCGCAGTGTAACGGGGTTCCCTAAACTAACATATCAAGGCTGCATAGAGCTAAGATGATTGGCCCCATTTTTTCTCCTTTGTGAGGTGGTGAGACCCCATCTGCTGCTCTGAACTGGACTGTGTGAATTCTTCCCCAGACAGCTTCACCCGAGTACCCCTGGGCTGCAGCACCTGTCTCAGTGGACATATGACCTCGCCGGAACAGGAAGGTGGTGATGGTGGTGATAGAGGTGGTGGCGGTGATGGAGATGATGACGATGGTGATAGAGGTGATGGTGGTGGTGGCAGAGACAATGGTGATGATAGTAATAATGGAGGTGATGATTATGGAGGTGGTGGCAGTGATGCAGTGATGGTGGTGGGGATGGAGATGACAGTGGTGATGGCAGGGATGGTGCAGGTGATGGGGCAGCGATGGTGGTGGGGATGGAGGTGACAGTGGTGATAGCAGGAATGGTGTAGGTGATGGGGCAGCGATGGTGGTGGGGATGGAGGTGACAGTGGTGATGGCAGCGATGGTGCAGGTGATGGGGCAGCGATGGTGGTGGGGATGGAGGTGACAGTGGTGATGGCAGGGATGGTAGTAGAGGTGGAGATGATTGTGGTGATGGCACTGATGGTGGTAGGGATGGAGATGATGGTGATGGCAGTGATGGTGGCGGTGATGGTGGCGGTGATGGGGCAGTGATGGTGGTAGGGATGGAGATAATTGTGGTGATGGCAGTGATGGTGGAGGTGATGGCAGTGATGGTGGGGATGGAGATGATTGATGGTGGCGATGGCAATGGTGGTGGTGGTGATGGCAGTGATGGTGGAGGTTGACTGGTGACGCAGGTGATGGTAGTGATGGTGGTGGGGATGGAAATGATGGTGGTGATGGTAGGTAGTGATGGTGGAGGTGACGGTGATGGAGGGAACTGTGGGAGTCTGTCAGTGGGTTCATGTCGCCATCTGGTGGTAATGCCTGAGCATTACATGGAGTGTAGCTCTCCCTGCCCCCAGTTAGGTGTAAGTTGCATTTTGACATATTTTTGTTATGAATACACATGAAAAATGACAGTTTTCTGTGCTACGTAGCTGCTAACAATCAAACAGGAAAAAAAAAAAAATAACTGCCAGGCTCTGCCGTTTGGCTGGAAAATGTGGTCACAGTCCAGGGAGCGCCACCCTGCTCCTGGACCTGCCTGGCAGTGCTGTTCCCTAACTGTGCCCTGCTCCCAGCCCAGGATCCTGTCGCGGGAGTGGCCGAGGATGGCCGGGAGAAGCCGAAGCTGCCGAAGGAGAGAGAGGAGCTGGAGCAGGCCCAGATCAAGGGCCCTGTGGATGTGCCGGGGCAGGAAGACATGAAGGAGGTGCAGCTGGATCGCCCCGGGCAAGGTGCTGGGCGCTGGCTGCGGGGTGGGGACCGGGAAGAGGGGCCCCAGTCGCCCTGCAGTGCAACTCTTGGGGCTGTGTCTCTTCTTCCCTTCAGCGTGGCCTGAGTTCTGCTCCTGTCTGCCTTCTCTCAGTTGGGATGAGTGTCCTGCCCCTCCAAGAGCAGCTGTCCCTATTGTCGGGCAGCGGGGAGGCCGGCGGGGAGGTGGTGTCTATTGGCCTGTGTCAGCGCCGTTGGGAACCAGCACCCAGTTCAGATTCCCCGGGAAGGGAAGGTGGGGCCTCAGCCTGATCCCATCTGTCCCCTGTGCGCTTGCAGGGATTGCTGTGCCCGTGGGCGAGGCCCACCGCCATGAGCCTCCCGTTCCTCATGACGAGGTGGTGGTAGATGAAGGCCAAGAACGAGAGGCACCAGAAGAGAACAAGCTTCCGTCCAGAGACACGGGCGGAGAAGCTCCCGGGGTCCAGGGCCAGATGGCACCGCCTCTGCCCGACTCAGAAAGAGAGAAACGGGAGCCGGAGCAGGAAGAGGTTGGGAAGAGGCCTGGACAGGCCCAGGCTTTGGAAGAAGTGGGTGGTTTTCCTGAAGATCCCCAGAAAGTTCCAAAAGCAGATGGCCAGCCAGCTGTCCAGCCTGCAAAGGAGGACCTGGGGCCAGGAGACGGGGACCTGCATCTGCGGCCGCCGGCAGCACTGTCTGAGGAGCAGAAGGCCCTGGCAGTGGGTGAAGGGGAAAAGGCCAACGGGGTGCCACCACCAGGCAACGCTGCCGGGGACATGGGGCAGCCCGCAGAGGACAGTGACCACGGTGGGTGTCAGCCTGGGCTCCTCTCGGAAGACCTCCCCTCTTGGGCAGGGGAGGCTGGGCAGGATCGATGGTCTCTCCCTCTGTCCCCAGTCTCTCTCCTTGCACCAGATTAGTATGCAAATGGAGCGGCCCGGCAGCTGGTGGGGACAGGAAGGGGCTGGCGGCTGACAGCTCCTGTAATATCTGTCACACAGTTGTTTGCCAGACCACTAAATGTCAGGTGCCGTGCTGTGCTCGTGTGTCTGGGCGCACGCGGGGGGCGGCGGGGGCCGCCTGACAGGTAACACGTTAAGTGCCGTCTAAGCACTGGTTGGGACGGGTCTTGCATTTTAATTGCGAAGGCAGTTCACGTTGGCTCATTGCCACGAGCCTACGAGGTTGTTAAATATTTTTTTATTGCTTTGCTAGTAATCGTCAGGTAGAATATAAACTGTGCTGACGGGGGTGTCACTTTAGAAACATCTGTCACCTCCTTTTCACCATCCCTTGCCTTCTGTCCCCCCCATCCTCCCTTGACTTTCCTGCAAAACCTCCCGGGTCTTCACCGTGTGTGCAGGTGGGAAGCCTCCCCTCCCAGCGGAGAAGCCGGCTCCAGGGCCTGGGCTGCCGGCCGAGCCTCGAGAGCAGAGGGACGTGGAGCGAGTGGGCGGAGACCAGGCGGCCAGCCAGCTGGAGGGTAAGGCCTTGGGCCCCGGGAGCAGCAGCCCCTTCCCCCAGCCCTGGGGTGATGCCCAGACCATCCTAGGGAGCCCTGCCGGCTCCCGCTTCTCTTTCCAGCCGCCTGCTAAGCGGACCCCTCTGAGAGCTTCCTCCTCCCTTCCCATGAGCAACTTCCTTTCTGGCACCTCCCAGGGAATGTTTGCTCTCCCTTACTCCCCTTTAAACACTGTGGCATTGTCATGTGGCTCATGATTACCATCTTGTCTTACTCTAAAGCAGGTTTGTTCACAGTCTAACACTCGCAGTATATTAAAGCCAGCCAGGTGTGGGAGTGCCTACACCCAGATGTGTAGGCTGGTTTTAAGGCTGTGCCTGGAGGGGACCCGGTGTGGCGGTGGCTGTGCCCTGGCCCAGAATGTTCTCCTACACCCTCAGCCCTCAGAGCTCGGCTATGTTCATTTGCAGGGATCTGTCCCCTGAGCCTCCAGGAAAGCTTCTCATACCTTTGCTCTCCTGAGAATAAAGCTGTGAATACTCCTCCAAACCTTCCTGCCCCTTGGTCCCCAGTTAGTGGCTTTTTGTGACCCCTTTTTGTGGCTTCACACAGTTAGGGCTCCGCCTCTGCAGGGAAGGTAGCAGCAGCTCACTGAGGGTCTGCTGGGTTAGCCTTCCATGCCATGTCCTCTCCCAGGCGGGGTCACTCACCCTCTGAGGGTGTGTGGCTGAGCCCCCTCTCCCCAAAAGTCCCCTGCATTTGATGGGAGCATCCAATCCATCTCTCAGGATGCTCAGCCCTGCCCGTTAGGGGTCCACATGTGCCTCTGCATCGAGAGGTCTGTTCTGGGGGGTCTGTGTGGGTCACGTGGCACAGCCGCTCCGGCTCTGGGGCCAAGCCCCTGGGAGAGGGTCTGGGAGCCCTGGGCCAGCTTTGGCGTGGACAGTTCTTCCCAGGGCGTTTGTAAGACATGCACTTCCTCCCCAAGCACCTTGCCCTGTGGCTTCAGGACAGCCGGGCCCGAGGGAGGCCAGGTGCAGCAGCCACGTCCCAGCCGCTGCGGCCTGGCTTCTCACGGCGCAGCTCGCCGTCCCAGCACCTGCTGCGCAGCAGGCAGAGCCAAAAGCACGCCCCGGGCTCCCGGAGCTCTGAAGCTGCTTCAGAAGCTCACGCATGTGGGGTTTTGTCTCAGGCTTTAGTCTGGCTGTAGTTGTCTTTCCGGTTTCTATGCTCTGTTACCTGAACCTGTTTGATTCTTTTGATTTTCTTGTTTCTGAAAAAGACTTTTCACGGTTTCCTATTCTGCCTTTCTTCCGTATGCCTCTCAACGGGACGAACAGCTGAAATTAAAAAGATAGTAGCAGGTACGCACGGAAAGCAGTGTGCTGAAGTACAGAGCGTGTCTGAGGGTTACAGACCTGAGCGCCGCCCTGCGGTGGCACCCCCACCCCCGGGACAGCCCTGCTCGGGACACGTGCCGGACCCCAGACCGGCGCACACGCCCAGGCTCAGCCACAGCCCCTCGGGCGGGGTCCTGACTCCCACTCGGCTCCCTTGTGTTACAAATGCTGGGGTCCTTCTCAGCCCGCTGTGGCCTTGCCTGTCATTGGAGGGCGGCTGGCCTCTGCAGGTGTCTGAGGGCAGGCTGCTTGGGACAGCGGCTGACGGGTGGGCCTGCGCTGCTCTCACGGGCCGCCTTGAGAGATCCTGTGTGGCCTCACAAGGGCCTAACTCCATGCCGCCTGCCAACCTGGTCCTTACGGTCTCGGTGGGCTCTGGCTGTGGGGACAGCCAGTCTCCTACATGGTGCTTCACATGTGTCCCATGTGGCTTCTCCACTCCTTCCTCCCTCTGCCCTTTTCTCCCCCCTCTTCCTCTTCCCTCCTCCCTCCTCCCTCCTCCACCCTCTCCCCTCTTTCTCCCTCCTCCCTCCTGACACTCCTCTTCCCTCCTCCTCCTCAATCCTCTGGCCTCCTCTTCCCTCCTCCCTCCCCTCCTCCCTCCTCTTCCCACCTCCCTCCTCCTCCCTCCCCTCCTCCCTCCTCCCTCCTCCTCCCTCCTCCCTCCTCCCTCCTCCCTCCTTCTCCCTCCTCCTCTTCCCTCCTCCCTCCTCCTCCCTCCCCTCCTCCCTCCTCCCTCCCCTCCTCCCTCCTCCCTCCCCTCCTCCCTCCTCCCTCCTCCTCCTCCCTCCTCCCTCCCCTCCTCCCTCCTCCCTCCCCTCCTCCCTCCCCTCCTCCCTCCTCCCTCCTCCTCCTCCCTCCTCCTTCCTCTTCCTTTCTCCCTCCTCTTCCCGCCTCCTCTTTCTTCCCCCCTCCTCCCCCTCCTCTCTTCTGTCTCCTCCTCTCCTCCTCTTTCCAGCACCAGGCCAGGGCTAGTTCTGCGAGGAGCAGGTGAGGTCGTGGGGCTGCCGTTCCGGAACCCTGCTCTGGGGTACGGGGAGGTGTCGTCAGCACATGGGATCTCATCCTTGTACCACTGACCATTCCGTGTTGAGCCCCGTGGCACCCAGGGTGAGAGTGTGGCCCATGGCCAAGGTGACCGGTGTGCCGCCTGCGCTTCCTCGTGTGAAAGGAAGTTTGCGGGAGGCCCGCTTGGCCTGTCATGGCCTTTCCCTGCAGGCAGGCACCTGGTCCCGGTGCTAGCAGGGAGCTGGGGCTGCTGCTAGAGGGCTGGCCCTGTCCCCCACATCCGGGGGTCTGGGAGAAGGCTGACCCTGCTCTGTTCTGGCTGCTCGCGACGTCTGCCTGGCATGCAGGGCCCTCACTGAGCTGTTTGCTCTCACCACTCACAAAACATCCTTCTTGCTCCCCTGAACCTTTATGCCTTACAGCCCTAACCTGTCATTTTCCAGCGGTTCCTATAATAATTTGCAAACGTGTTACAAAAATGACATAAACCACAGCTGCTTGCAGCAGATTACTGGCCAGCGCTGAAGCGGGTCCAACTAGGCCTCCTGTAGCAGGTGTGCGCCAGTGTGCCCCGGGCAGGCCTGTCCTCGGGACCTTGCTGCCGGCGCGGGCCCTTAATTCTGGGTACACCAGGGCTCCCTGTCATGCAGGGCCTGCCCAGAATTTCCACAGTGGACGGTGGTCAGGACAGCTGGCTGGGGCCCCACTGATGCTCCAGCTCCCATGCTCCCCTTGAAAGAAGACAGCTTGTTTTTAAAATTCTCGTCTTGGAGGAAACTTTCTTAAAGTACAATATTCTTTTCAAAATATAGCTTATCATTTTTCTTCTCCCCTCCCTTTTTTTTGAGACAGGGTCTTGCTCAGTTGCCCAGGCTGGAGTGCAGTGGCTTGATCACCGCAGCCGTGACCTCCTGGGCTCAAGCCACCTCAGCCTCCCAAGTAGCTGGGGGTACAGGCGTGCACCACCACGCCTGGCTAATTTGCATTTTTTTTGTAGAGATGGGGTCTTGCTATGCTTCCCAGGCTGGTCTCTAACTCCTGGGCTCAAGTAATCTTCCTGCCTTGGCCTCCCAAATTGTTGGGATTACAGGCGTGAGCTGCTGTGCCCAGGCTTATTTTCTCATGTGCTTGTCCTAGAACAACTGAATGTGTAAAATGGGAAAATAAGGAAAAAACCCCACCTAGCCCAGTTAACCGTCCCTGACATTGTGGCGCATTCCTTTTGACTCCGTTGCTTTGGAAACTCATTTTCAGTGGGTAACAAGCAAGTTCGCTGAGGTCCCGTCGGTGCGCCTGCGGTGCAGCCAGTGAGGAACTGATACGGGCAGAGAGGCTGGCTGTGCGGGAGGGGCTGCTGGGGGTGTCCTGGGGGCAGTCAGGGCAGAGCCTCTCCTGGGCCAGGCCTGTGTGTCTCACTGAGCTGTCCAGACACGCTTCACGGTCAGGCTCGTGACGAGTGGTGGCGAGTAGTCCCAGCACGCTCCCTGCAGGTGACCGGTGTGTGGCCTTGCTGCGGGCCGGTGCCGTCCTTGGCCCAGCACGGTGTGTGGGCACCCTCTCACTGTGCGTTTTCCAAACCCAGAAGCTGGCAGGGCGGAGATGCTGGACCATGCCGTCCTGCTTCAGGTGATCAAAGAACAGCAGGTGCAGCAAAAGCGCTTGCTGGACCAGCAGGAGAAGCTGCTGGCAGTGATCGAGGAGCAGCACAAGGAGATCCACCAGCAGAGGCAGGAGGACGAGGACGACAAGCCCAGGCCAGGTAGGCGGGGCGGCAGGCGAGGGGGCGGGGCCAGGCAGGGGCTCCTGCGGTCCTGTGCGGCCTATCCTGAAGGGGGAGTCTAGGTTTTGGTTGCTGGTGTCAGCGGTTGCTATGGGTCTGAGGTCCCGTGGCCTGTCCTGAGGGTGGTTGCCAGCTTGCTGTTTTGAGTCCCTCCCCTGGCAGCCTATGTTCAGTGCCATGGCTAAACTGATGACTGACTTCATTTGCAGTGGGCATGCAGCCAGAGCCCGGGGTGGTGGCACCCAGAGGCCAGGAGGCCCCCGAAGGCAAGGCCAGGGAGATGGTAGAGAATCTGCCTCCCCAGCTTTTGGACCCTGCCCTCCGAGCTCCTGGGGGCCACCCCGCTCCATCCCAGGACCTTAACCAGCACTCCCTGGAGCACCTTGAGGGGCCTGTGGGCAGAGAGCCTGCTGGCCCTCCGGATGGCGGCTCTGACACGGAGCTGCAGCCAGCCCCGGCCAAGCTAAGAGACGGCCAGAAGGACGTCGCCCCCAGGGCAGCTGGCCCGCTGAGGGAGCTCCTCCCAGAGGCCACGGGGCAGGTGCCTGTGCCGGACCCCGCCGGGGAAGCCCGGGGCCCACAGGAGCGCCTTGCGGAGGAATTCCCCAGGCAAAATCAGGATGTTCCTGGCGGTGGTTCCCAAGAAAGGAAGAAACCTGGGAAGGAGGTGGCAGCCACTGGCACTGGCATTCCGAGGGAAGCCAACAGGCTCGAGGCAGGGCCAGGAGCAGAGACAGGGGACCTTCCCGCGAAGTCCAAGCAAATGAACCGAGGCCTGGGCCTTGCAGCAGGCCTGCCCGGCAAGGCGGAGGGAGCAGCCCTGCAGCCCCAGGCTGCGTTACGCCAGCCGGAGCGACGGGTCATCTCTGATGGCGAGCAGGGTGGACAGCAGGGCCACCAGCTAGACCATGGTGGTCACCTGGAGATGAGAAGGGAGGCCCACGGCAGGGACCATGTGCCTGTGTCCCACAAGCAGCCGGGAGGTGGGGAGGACACTGCTGTCCAGGAGCCCAGGCAGAGGCCGGAGCCAGAGCTGGGGCCTAGACGAGCTGCCCCCGTGGCCCAGAGGCCGGACAATGCCAAGCCCAACAGAGACCTGAAGCTGCAAGCTGGTTCCGACCTCCGGAGGCGGCGGCGGGACCTGGGCCCTCGTGCGGAGGACGAGCCGGCCCTGAAGGACGGGGTCATCATTGGCTTTAACCCCCTACCTGATGTCCGGGTGGATGATCTCCGTGGTGCCCTGGACGTCCAGCTCCGCCAGGCCGTCGGGGGCGCTTTGCAGGTGGTCCACAGCCGGCAGCTTCGACAGGCGCCCGGGGATCTGGAGGCCTAGCACCTGTTGGCCACGAGGGCCACGCCCGCCACCGCCAGCGCAGCAGCAGGTCTCCCTGCCACGTTCTGGCCAAACTGCAGGTCACACACACTCTTTCCCAGGGTTTCGTGTCTGAGGCCCTCACCAAGTGTGAGTGCAAGTATAAAAGATTGCACTGTCTGTGGCATTGTTTCCAGAATGTTCTTGCCGTTATTTGTCGCACCTCTTAGTCTGAGGGCCTCTAACCTCTCGACTCTGAGCTCACTACAGCCCGTGAGAAACGGCCTCCAGGGTGAGCTGGCTGGCGCGCTTTCTCCCAGGCTCAGGCCGGGGATCCGCTGCGTCTGGGGCCGAGCCTCCCGCTCCTGCGTGGAGCACGTCTTCATGTTGAGCTCGACGGGCGGCTGTGCGTGGAGGCACACGTGGCTGCCGATGGTCCCAGCACAGGCTACCGTGAGAGCCAGCGTCAGCCCAACTTCAGTGACTCAGAATGTTCAGTTTATTGATGTTTCCCACAGTGTGGTAGAAATCTTGAATAAATTCTGTGCCTTCGCCTGCCTGGGTGGGTGCCGCTTGGTATCTGGGAAGCACGGGGAGCGGGGCCGGGCTCCTGAGGGGCCTCCAAGGGGGGCTGGCTGGTGTCACCTTCTGCACTCATGGTTGGCACAGCCTCTGTGGTCTGTGTTTTTCGACACTGAGTTGTGGGCTTTTTAAAAACTAAGAACTACCACTGATATCTGATTAGTGACGTTGGTCCGGGGAAGTGACTGGAAGGAGAGCCGGAGGCTGGCCTCGGATTCTAGATGCACACAGCAGAGGCCAGAGGCTGCGAGGGAACAGCTCCGTGACCTGCGCCCCATGGTGACCTGACACCAGACGCAGTACAGTCCCAGAGAGACGCGGCGAGCGGGCAGACCCGCCTGTGCGGGGAGCTCGCCCAGCCCCCTGGGCCAGGCTGACGGGCATGCTGCCCTGCGACCAGGACAAGCGACACAGCCTCTCGCCTGGCGGGAGGAGAGGGGAGGGTGCCACTGTGTCCACAGCGCACGTGGCTGGGTGCTGCATCCCTGTGTCTGCGTCGGCTCGTCCTCTGGGGAGCGCGCGCCATGCAGGGCAGAGGACCTATGGGGGTCAGGGCCTGGGCTTGGGGGAGGCGTGTGTTGGTGAAAGTCCCTGTACAGAGGGCTGGGCCTCGGCCTCTGGTGGCGTAAGAAACTACAATAACCTTCAGGCTGGGCAGCCTCAAGACTGGAAATTGTTTTTTTTTTTTTTGAGATGGAGTTTCACGGTCACCCAGGCTGGAGTGCAGTGGGGTGATCTCTGCTCACTGCAACCTCTAGCTTCCAGGATCAAGTGATTCTCTTGCCTCAGCCTCCCAAGTAGCTGGGACTACAGGCGCCCACCACTAGTTTTTTGTTTGTTTTTTGTTTTAGTAGAGATGGGGGTTTTACCTTGTTGGCCAGGCTGGTCTTGAACACCTGTTCACGATCTGCCTGCCTTGGGCTCCCAAAGTGCTGGAATTACAGGCATGAGCTGCCACGCCTGGCCTGAGGACGAAATGAACTATAGGAAAGCTTCTGGAGGCCGAGTGGTGACTCCTGCTGAGCCCTGGAGGCTGGGAGGGGGATGAGGGGCGGGTACTGCTCAGCAGGCAGGAGGTGCCTCGCAAAGGCGGTTCAGTCCCAGTCTTTCTGTCCTTCATTAAAAACAATTCCAAGTGAACCACAGCTCAGTGATAAAACACCTCCCAGATACTCCCCTCAGACTGGAACTCCGTTTGTTCAATTGCTTGGACTGGGATTTTCATTCCGGCTGGATTTCCCCAAATATCTTAGTGTGACCCAGTTTTCTTTTTCTCCTCTGGAGGTTATTCTGGCCTCCTCCCCTTTCTGCTAACTGCTGCTGTTGGAGCAGGACAGGGCCGCCCTCCACCAGCACAGAGAGGCATCCGTGACGGCCCTCCTCTGCCGTCGCCCACCCTGCTGCACCCCGGAGCCCCTGCACCCCCGAGTCCCTGTGCCCCCAGCCACATGCAGGGTCACTTGCCCCTTGCTCGCTTCCTTCTTCCTGCCCACCCCCACCCCCATCCCCAGCCCAGGCGGCACCCCTCAGGGAAGGAAAGAGAAGCTTATTTCCCCAGAAGCCTGGCAGAACCCCGGGTGGGGCCTGGGGCCAGGCTGCGCTTTCTGAGCCACCTCGGACTGCTCCTGTCTGGTCAGTCCTGGTGCTGTCACCGGGCAGTGGAGCCTGCCTCCGGGGGCTCAGTTCCCGGGCAGGGCAGCAGGGACGGCGCTGCCCCTTCCCCGTGGGAACAGACTCGCACAGCAGGCTGGCCCGAGAGCCAAGGCACTCGCTGTCATTTGATGTGTCCCCCCAAAATTCAGGAGGTGCCTATGTGATAGCGTCGAGAGTGACTAGGCCCCAAGGGCTCCTTCCTGGCTGCAGGAATAGGAGCCTCACAAAAGGCAGCATGCAGCACGCAGGTCCTGCGCTCCCTTCCCCTCCGCCTTCTGCAGCCTCAGGACACAGCACAAAGGCCCTCCTCCGACGCCACGGCCAGTGCCTGGCTCTCCGGCTTCCCAGCCAGCGGAGCTGAGAAGTCAGGCTGTTCTTTGTGAATCACGAAGCCTCAGGTGCTTGGTTGGGGCAGCAGGAGTGGCCTAAGTGTGCCTGAAGCGGAGCACTGCATGGTCCTGGCGGCCTGGAATGGGCAGAAGCCCCCCACCGCCCGCCTTCCTGAGCTGTCCATCGGTGCAGTCCTGAGAGCCAGTGTCTCAGGGAGGAAGGGCAGGAGCAAAGGTGCAGGGCGCTTTGTAAGAAAATTTGGGGGGGTAGAAGAGGGGGGTCCCCAGGAGGCCCGAGAGCTGCGTTTGGAGGTGTGGGCCACAGGAAGCGGCAGGTCTGTCTGCCACCACTGCACACACACGCTGAAGGACAGCGGGGGTCGGGGGAGCACTGGCAAGGTCTGTGGGGAGGACGGGCGGGCCCACAGAGGAGGGGTGTGGAGGGAGGTGAGCAGAGGAGAGGGCATACGTGCCGTGAGGCTGGCTCAGGATGAGTGCTGCACGCTCGAGGGGGAAGGCAGAGGTGGGGGCAGCCGGGCCTCACGCTGCGGAGGTGGGTTAGGCGGGTGGGCCCGGGCAGGGCCTCTGAGTCTCCGGCCTATGCAGGGACAGGCTGCGGTGGCTTGGCTCCAGCAGTCTGGTCTGGATTTCCGTGGTTCCCAAGATGTGACTCTTTCCTGGGCCTTGGGACAAAAATCTAACACTCTGGAGACTTACAATGCCCAGCTCCAGCAGATGAGACAGCGGGTGTTTGACCCTTAGGGGAAACCAGGCTAATTCTGGGACGGCATGTGAGGAGGAAACATGGAGGTACAGACCTCAGCCCACGGGGCCAGCTGCTCGCACGGGCCTGGGGACAGGTGCAGGCCGCAACCCCAGGACAGCCAGACCTCCACGCTCGGGAGCGAAGGAACACCTGAAGCAGTCCCTGCCACGCCCGGCAGGTGGCGCCCAGGCCCCACAGATTCCCGAGTCTCCCTGTCGGCAAGCGCCTGGCCGGGGTCAGGGTGTCGCCCTTCTGGCCTTAGTTTCAGGTCCAGTGGTGTGACAGGGAAGGGGACGAGCGGGCAGCGGGCAGCAGCCATCAGTGACGTACCTGGGCTGCTGAGGCGGCGACCAACCCCACACCACAAAGGAGTGGCAGTGGCTGCTGGTGCCCTATGCAGGCCCCTCTCGGAGGCTCAGGCCCTTTTGTAAAGAGCCCCACCTTACCCCACGTCCAGGAAAGCCACCTTCAAGGACCCTGCCCCATGGGGTGTCCGTCCTCATCTTTGGTGTGTGCTATATACCTGTAGTGAGGTCTGCAGGCTTCACCAGATTCAGATTAAATACCTTAGTGAGACTGTTTTAAAATGGAGATTTTGAGGCACAGTATCCCTGAGTCCCAGCCCTGCCCTTTTTGGGGTAGAAGCCAGGGCCCATAGGTCGCAGTCTGCACACAGTAAGCCCCTCGCTGCAGGATCTGACAGAATCTTTATCGTTACATCATATTCTAAAGTCCTTACAGAGACAATGCTGGAAAACCAATTTCTGCTCTACCCACACCTCAACTTGCTGAGAAGAAACACAGGAGCTAAAGTCAGGAAGTCACATCTTTGCCATTCCTACTTCCTTTCTGCCCTGGGCATTCCACGTGTGCCACCAGGCGCCATCAGGACGAGGGCTCTGCACCCGCAGCAGCAGACAGGTGTGAAGCTCAGAACCTCCTAACAGCCTCCCTCCAGTGTCTTCTTGGCCTGCAAGATAAAGTGTTTTGTCTGAATGGCTTGCTTCCAAGTTAGACACAGCTTGAAAGAAAACGACCACACCAAATGCCTTGTTCTGCCAAATACCTTAGAGACTTCGGTGCTGGCCCGTGCTGGAGGCTCGACTGGTTGGAGAACCATGGGCTGGTTCCCTGGGTCACTGGTTCAAGGGACAAGAGCCTTGTGACACCATCACAGACCTCACTGCTGTACCCTCCTCTGACCCCCACCAAACGCCACATTTGGTCTCATGCTCTCATGAAGGGTAAGCAGAAGGTCTCCCCGATCCAAAAACTTTTTTTTTTTTTGAGACACAGTCTCACTCTGTTGCCCAGGCTGGAGTACAGTGGCGTGATCTCAGCTCACTGCAACCTCCACCTCCCAGGTTCAACTGATCTTCCTACCTCAAGCCTCCCAAGTAACTGGGACTACAGGTGAACACCACCATGCCTGGCTAATTTTTTTATTTTGTAGAGATGGGGTCTCTGTATGTTGCCCAGGCTGGTCTCAAACTTCCAGGCTGAAGCAATTCAGCCACCTCAGCCTCCCAAAGTGGTAGGATTATGGGTGTGAGCCACCATACCCAGCAAAGGTGCAACTTCTGATGAGTCGCCCACTCCTGCATCCAAGGCTGCTGGGGGCAGGCAGGAATGCAGGCTGTGGAGCTTTTATTCAAGTATCCTTTCTCTGGCCCAAATCTCTGGATTGGCAGCTCCCGGTAAACAGAGTCAGCACTGGCGTCACAGCCAGATACACTGAGTCGGGGCGCCCGAGGTGGTACCCAGTCAGGCTGACACTTACGGAAGCAGCCTCAGAATGACTTAAAGCCCCACGGTCAGGAAGCCCATCGTGCCAGTTGTGAGGGTGGCGGGGGCGGGGAAGAGGGGTGCCCGGGGTGGGGGGGGTGCCCGGCTGGGCAGGTGCTGAAGGAATCCACCGCCGCAGCTGCGCAGGGGGCTGCGAGTGCCGGGGAGGTGAAGACCCAGAAGGTGCTGGGTACTTGCTGGGAGTCCTGTGTCGGGTCGATACTGGCATGACACCCCTCGGCGGCAATGCCAACACGAAAACTTAACGCTTTTTACAAAGCGCCTTCTTGCACACATCCCCCATCCTTTCTGAGACTGGTGCCAGTCTCGCTTTACAAACACGCTGGCACAAACCCGGGACCGCCGAGGTTTCGCGGGCTCGTCGGCGGCTCGGTGGTTTGGTCAGCCCGGGTCTAAAGCACGCAGCAGCAGCTCAAACTTTGAACCAACAGGAAAAGCAAAGGCCGGGGCCCGCCGGCTCTTGGAGGGGAAGGGCTCGGAGGGGCCGGCGCCCACCTACCGCGGCGGCGAAGCAGCTCCGCAGGGCCTCGAACTCCCGCGCGCAGAGGTCCTTGCTCAGGCGGCCGCCCGGGGCCGTAGAGGCCTGCACGCACCTGCCGTACGCCGCGGCCTGCGGAGGGGACGGGCGCGGGTCGTGAGGTCCCGTCCCCGCCCTTCCCCCCCGTCACCGCCCCGCTCGGCCCTTCCCGCCCCGCAGCACTGGCCCGCCCGGGGCTCCTCACCTCGGCCCCGCAGGCGGCCAGCCGCTCAGGGAAGGAGCGGAGGCGGCTTCGCACCCGGCCCCACACCGCTCCGTTAGCCGACATGAGCCGCAGTGCCCGGAGCCCCTGGACGCCGCCATGTCGGGTCCGTCTTCTTCCGGTGTTCAGGTCCGTCCTCTTCCGGCGTCCAACAGCTTGATAGGCCGGCGCTTCCGCCCATCAGCGTCCCTGAGCTTTTTAATCGCCGTCTCTGGCCCTGAGCCCCCTGCAATTGGCTTTTGTCCTTGTCTGTCTCTGCCCTGGGACTTCGGATTGGCCTAGGCTCAAATTATTTACGAAGCCGCCCTCAGGGCCCGGCCCACCACGAGGAACTGGGCCACGGAGCCTGACGCACGCGCTGATTGGAGGGCCCGGGCGGGGCGGACCGCGAGGTGACTTGCATCATGGCGGCAGCGCCGCCGCTGCGGGACCGCCTGAGCTTTCTGCACCGGGTGAGTGGGGGCGGCCCGCCCCGGCCCCGGCCCCACGTGTCCCCTCGGGCGCCGCTCGCCCCGGGCCGGAGCCGTTGACCTTGCGTCCCCGCCCTGGGTAGCCGCTCCCGGCCCCTGAGCTGCCCGCCCGCCGCGCGGTCCCCGGGCCTCCCAAGCCGGACCCGCCGAGCGCGAGGGCGATGGGCACAGCCAGCCCCTGGGGAAGAGAACAGGCCTCGGCCGGCATTCAGTGGCCTCCGACAGGCGGGAAGGAGCGGCGGACCCGGTGGACGTGGAGCCGCTGCGTCCGCGCTGCCGGCGCCGGGTGGGCTCCGGTCCTGGAGAGGCACCCCTGGGTTGCCGAGAACACAGACGCCTCGAAGGGACAGAGAAGGACGCTGTTGTGAGCCCCTCTTAGTAAACGCTCTGAGAAGGAGAGGTCGGGGCCGGTCCCCAGGTGTCGTCCAGAGCAAACTGCCTTCTTGTCAGCCCTGGGCTTTCCTAGGCTGGACCTCAGAGGGGGCTGGGTGGTCCCAGGGCGCGGCCTTGGGCTGCCAGAAGCCTCGCTAGGGTTGGTCAAGCTCCGTGCAGGGTTTGGGCAGAGTCGTTCTGTGCTGCGTTCTGCAGTCGTCAGCTGTCACCTGCAGACCTCTCAGCCCCGCTCAGGGCTTGATGGGCAGAGTGTCAGTGATGTGTGTCCACAGCCTCGGGAAACACGTCAGGTCCACGGTTTTTTGTGTTGTCACTAGATCTCGGCCCTCATGAGGTCGGTCCCAGGCTTGTCCTCTTAAATACTCGTGAACTCTTCTGTTACTGAATAATGCCAGAATGAGTGTTTCCAATTTTCACCCCATAAACCACACAGCTTCCTGCCAGCAAGTAAGCGTGAAACAGATAAGTACGTCCGCATGAAGCGAACATAAAACACACGGTGTCGCCGGGCGCGGTGGCTCAAGCCTGTAATCCCAGCACTTTGGGAGGCCGAGGCGGGTGGATCACAAGGTCGAGAGATCGAGACCAACCTGGTCAACATGGTGAAACCCCGTCTCTACTAAAAATACTAAAAATTAGCTGGGCGTGGTGGCACGTTCCTGTAATCCCAGCTACTCCGGAGGCTGAGGCAGGAGAATTACCTGAACCCAGGAGGCAGAGGCTGCGGTGAGCCGAGATCGCGCCATTGCACTCCAGCCTGGGTAACAAGAGCGAAACTCTGTGTCAAAAAAAAAAAACAAAACAAAAAACAAACAAAAAAAACCACACGGTGTCACTTGGTTCTCGGGAGCGATGGAGCCAGCCAGGCCAAGCAGCTCTGTCACTCTGCCAATCCAGGCTCTAGGGAGGTGGGGCCATTCATAGTCCCTTGCGTGGAAAAGGGGCTTGCCTGGGCCTTGTTTGGCGTTGCTAGTCAGTAGGTAGGTCCAGGAGAAGTACTTTCAAAGAGCCTTACATGCTGGGAAGTACAGGGAGGCTGGGGCTGTGTCCTGTCTTATCCCAGGTGAGGCAGCCCCTCCCTGGAGAACCACCATTGATTTGCCTCTTCCCTGAGGCTGTTCGTCCCTGAAGGTTGAGGGAGGACCATGCTGCGGGCTCCCTGTGGCCCATAGCACCCTTCGCGTCCCTTCCCAGTCCTTTCTCTGGCCGCGTCAACAGCAAGAGGTGGGCCGTTTCCACCCCTTTGGGAGCTGCGGGCTCACCCTATGGGAAATGGCGCCTCATCACGGCAGAGGCTCTTGTTCCCTTTCAGCTCCCGATTCTCCTGAAGGGGACGTCAGATGATGATGTCCCATGTCCCGGCTACCTGTTTGAAGAGATTGCTAGTATCCTTCCTCGACGTCCCTGTGTGGGGGAGAAAGCGGATAGCAGGGTCCTGGTGTGGGGCAAAGGGTCACTGGGGGTTCTGCTGTCCCTGGAGGGATTTACAGCTCCTTTATCATTGAAACCAGTCACGGGTGGGGTCTGAAGGCTGCGATACTGATGGCTCGGGAGACCCTGGAAGCCCCAGCGCTCCTGACGGCAGCAGGTGCTTCCAGGCAGCGTGAGCTGGGAGGACCCAGGGCTGTTTCTCTGCACGGCCCAGCGCAGCCTTCATCATCTCCCTTCCCTAACCCGAGCGTGCCACAGAAATCTCCCACGAATCTCTGGGCAGCAGCCAGTGCCTGCTGGAGTACCTCCTGACGCGCCTGCACAGCAGCTCTGGCCACGGAAAGCTCAAGGTGAGCCCCTGCGTGGTCAAGCGTCAGGCCCGAGCCCCTGCCCACGGTGCTGAGACCAGAGGAGCAGATGAGCGGCACAGGGTGGCCGGTGGCTCTGTGCCCTTGGGGCGCCCCTGGCCCTGCCCTGGGTGTCCCGTGTCGGGCCTGCCCAGCGCTGCTGACCGCCCCACTCCCCAGGTGCTGAAGATCCTGCTCTATCTGTGCAGCCATGGGTCCTCCTCCTTCCTGCTCATCCTCAAACGCAACTCCGCCTTCATCCAGGAAGCTGCAGGTACAGGGGCACGCATACGCTCCAGAAGAGCCAGGGCCGTGGACAGTGGGGGAGGGTGGTGAATCCTCCGGTCTTGAGAAGTCAGCTAGAGCCCTCACCCTGGCCTGGTCCTGATCGCTGCCCCGCCTTGGGAGGGAGGGAGAAGGAAGGGTGGGAGGGAGGGAGAAGGAAGGGTGGGAGGGAGGGAGGGGGAAGGGTGGGAGGGAGGGAGGGAGGGGAAAGGGAGGGAGGGAGGTGGCTGGCAATCAAAGACAGGTTTTCTTTACTGAAAGCTTGAGAGGCGCTCCTGGCCGATGGTGGTCAGGAGCACTTTCTGTTACAGACTAAGAGCATATATTGGTTTTAGTGTGAGGGGCTTATCAGAAGCCACGGATGTTTGTGCGTGTGGAGAAGTTTATGGCAGGGTTGGAGTCTCTGGAGGAGGGGATACTGTCTTGGAGCAGACATCCTTCGGCCAGAGGGTGGTTTATCTCAGGGCTAGCATGTCTCTGGTCGGGAGGAGTTTGAATGTTTCTGGTTGGAGATGTTATTTGTGGTTTATGGGCATGTTGACTTTAGCTGTTAAACTGATGCTGTGTGATTTAGGCAGTTTTTTATGAGGTGAACTTTAGAATGAGGGGCTCGTCCAAGATGGTGACACTCCTGCTCTGTCACCGAGGAGGGGCAGTGTGGTGTGTAGGTGGGTGGCCCCGGCTCCTGCCAAGAATGGCAGCTGAAGGGTGATGTCCTGCTGGCAGGTCATCCAGCCACTGACTCAGCTTGTGGCCGCCAACCCTGGGCCCAGGGGCAGCCAGGGCATCGTCTGCAAATCACGGGGCTAGCCTGCCAGGGTGGAGATGGGCGGCCGAGGGGTGAAGGGGACTCGGCTGTGATGGAGGCGCCCACCTTCCCACTCATGGCCCTCCAGGGCTGCTCAGAGGAGCAGCTCTCAGGATGAGTCCCGAAAGGATGCTCGGCCCCAGGTGAGGCTTAGGGGGCCCTGGGGCCCCAGGATTTAAGGAAAGACATCCCAGTTACTGTGACTGGAGCTCGCAGAGCAGCGGAGCCTGAGACAGCTGACTGGGTATGGGCAGGGCCAGGTAGAGCTTTCGGGCTGTGATAGAGAACACTGCTTCCACCCTCCAGGCCCAGGGGAGCCTCTGGGGGTCCCTGGTGTGCGTGGGGCAGGTAGAGTGGGCGGCGGGGGGTGCCAAACCAGCTCAGACACAAGGCGTTGTGGGTCCTGGGGAGACGAGGTGGGTGCTGTGGAGAGAGACTCGCCTCTGTGGGGCTTGGGTGACAGGGAGCCAAGGGTCTGCTCAGGTGTGGCCTCTGCAGGGTCCTGGAGGAGGGGGTCCTGGTGGCGGGAGCGTGCCACCCTGGAGAGGGCCCAGTGTGCCACGACTCGCAGGGGCAGCAGCGCCAGGTTCAGCCCTGCCTCAACTTGCCTTTTCTGTTCTGCAGCTTTTTCGGGGCCCCCGGATCCTCTGCACGGGAACAGCTTGTACCAGAAGGTTCGGGCAGCCGCGCAGGTGAGCCCAGGAGTAGAGTCACTCTGCAGGGTGCCCTCCTCCGGTAGAGGGGAAGGACTGGGGCCTGGATGTCGGCTGGAGGGTTTGCCATTCTCCCACCAGGGGCCCCTGCCTCCCCTTCCGGCTGGGGGGTATGGGGGGTGCTCCTGCCTCCACTCCTGGCTGCTGGACACAGCCCATGTCTGGCTGAGTGGTTCAGGAGCCGTGTCCAGAGGACAGGATGGCGTTGGCGTGGGTGGCAGGGTTAGTACAGCAGCCCCAGCAGAGGGAGCTGAGGCTTCCGCCTCCCCTGCAGGACTTGGGGAGCACCCTGTTCTCGGACGCCTTGTCGCCGCTGCCTCCCTCCCAGCCTCTGGGGACCCCGCCGGCCACAGGTAGGTGACCGAAGGGACCGTGTTCAGCCCCGGCACTGGGTTTCTGCCTCCCCAAGTGTCCTGGGCATCTGTGCTGCCCGTGGGCAGGGCCGAGGGTGGGGCCGGCTTGCCGCTGACTGAGGACCCTCTGCAGGCATGGGCTCCCAGGCCAGGCCACACAGCACCCTCCAGGGTTTCGGCTACAGCAAGGAACACGGCTACACCGGTGAGTGGGAAGGCCCTGCGTGGGCGCCGGGTCCCAGGGCGCAGGGGTGAGGAGGGCGGGGGCGCAGGGCTGCCCACCTGCTAGCTACTGCCCCTGTTCCCTCCCTCACGC